CTGTACAAAAGTGTTAAATCTCGCAGGAATCTCCAGTCCAAACATTACCTTACCAGTAGAAATATTAGATATCATTATTACAGTGGACAGCAACATGTTCACCAAAGTTTTAAACCAGAAATCTTGAGAAAAAAATGAAGTGCAAAAACTGAAAAGGCCCAGAGGGCATGTATTGTTCACCTGAACACTGAGGCAACTACTGCAAAGTACTTTCAGAAAAGTAATATTGCAAATATTTACATGTTATAGGCTTCTCATCCTCGATATTCCAGGGGTTACGCTCACTTACACTCTCTGCACGGAGCGTAAGTGAGTGTAACCCCTGGAGTAACAAGGATGCACCTATCTCAGCCCCCAATAAAGCTGGACTTCTCCCTGGAGTAACAAGGATGCACCTATCTCAGCCCCCAATAAAGCTGGACTTCTCCAAATACCATTGCACAGCAACCTAGATACATGAACTTACTACCCTAATTTCACTACACATGGCTTTATGAACTTCTCAAGATTCCATCCCAGGCAGTTTCTGGCCTACCGGTAATGTAATGATCCAGAGTTTTTCATTCTTTAAAAAAAATCTGCTGGAAGTAAAGGTTGATGAAGCTATTACAGACATTTTGTGCCAGGTGAACTAAAATGTTAACCCCCTAGGGAACCTAGCTGTCAAATATCAGTATCCTAGGACAAAGCCTATATAAGTTTTCTAAACAGATTTTAGCACTTGTATCAAAACTTTAACCAACACCGACAATGACACCGATGCTCGGCCAACAACACAAACCCCATTTATTCTTGGAATAGGTGAGCTAAAAACGATGTAAAAATGTGAACCATAACCAAAATATTTTACAAATTTATAAATGAAAAAAAACATATGTCAGGAAGGACTTAATAAAGATGGATTTCCTATGGAAGCCAAAGATTTATTTTATCAATTCAATAATACTAGATATATAATACTGCAGTATAGGCCAAGTATTGGATTTCTGAGAGTCACAGAACATGTGAAAGCTGAAACCTCAGAAATACTTACAATAGGAATCACACATATATATGTACAGGACATATAAACCCTCTCGGAGTATATATTACCATCACTTAACATTCAAACCTAGTCATCAAGATTACGGATAACACTTCACTCCTACCTAATTTTAGTAGACTTTTTTTTCTTTTTCTTTTTTTATAAAAAGCAATTATAACTAATACAAAATTTGTTGAGTTTCTGCAATAAATCCGAGCTTCCAAAGGTCTTCTTTCTCTTTCTAAATAATATAATTTCTGATGTTCTGCGTAAACTAATATTACAAAGTCCATTCGCAATGTCAATAAGGTAAGGTTTTTCAACCCCACGAAGGGGTTACATACTCATCAAAGATACTGAAAATGTGTTTACATATTTAAAGTTATAATCAATACAAAAAGATCAACCAAATTATTCACACAATCATCAAAGACATAAAGAATGTGTTTATACATTAAGTAGCAGTGTACGATAGGGTACTCTGGCCATGGGCAACATTTTTGTACAACCAACAACCCCAATAGCATAGAATGTAGCAATCTTTTTGTATTTTAAAATCCCACTAAAATTGTAATAGACTATATGGGAGCTTCATATTTTTTGTTGAAATGAAATTATTTTGTAAGAGATTACAAATTTGGCAATTCTCAAATCTATGGTTACACAAGAAAAACTAGCTTTATAGGAAGTAAGTTTCTGTACTCGGCACATGTGTACGAATCGTAAAAAAATACCAAGTAGGTTATGTTTTATTTCAGACAGGCTTTAAGGAAAAAATCTATGTGTGGGTAAAAAATAATGTATATTTTTTCCATTTTTGAAGTGGTTACCATGGCTTTTTACAAGTCTGAAATCTGAGAAAATCACTTGTTTACAAAATGTTCATCACTCTTATTACAGTTGTTGTTATAAAGTAGTTCATAAATCTAAATGTATGTGTGGACATACAGTTCAGAATAAATCCTCTATATATATATATATCTCTCAGACATGTCTGATGTTATTTTTTTACGATCGGGCCATTTCTACTGTACACTGCTACATTAAAAGTGATCTATCAAGGCGAAGAGATCAATCAGATTGAATGTTGTGTTAGATCACAGGTACTAGCCTCGTCGGTCAATACACCTTTAATATAATCGTACAGGTGTATTGACAGACGAGGCTAGTACCTGCGGTTAGATGAAACATTTTCACAAGAATATGATACAACATGATACACAACAACATAACAATATATACAAATACCATTTAGAGGTTGTGCGACCTTCCCAACCTGATTAGGTTGTATGTTACAGCACCTATTCTATTTCTTACGGAAATTATTAACTACCAATTATTGTGATATTTCATGCAAAGTGGGAGAGGTATGACTAGTGATGATATGTACATAACACCAGACCCTAAAAAAAATAAGAATAAACAATTCTGAAAAGGAAAAACAACAAATAGAAGGAAAAATAAAAATAACAAATTTCATGCTGTCATAAAGTTGTTAGAAATGAAGCATTTGGAGGTAGCATTCCCCCACCATGTCTTCAGACTGGTGTAGGGCATACCCTGGCAGGGTGTAATTATAAGTGTGCTACACAAACAGACAGATGTACACGTTTCTGTTAGCACTTTTGTATCACACTTGACTGTCAAGGAATCAAACGTGTGATTTTCATATCCACTGCACAAGTACCTTCATCCAAAACAAATATATCCACTTAAAACAACAAAAATATGAGCAAACGTCAAAAAATAAAAACATTGTTACTCCATATGTATAATTGAACATAATAGGACAGACAAAAACATTTAAGTTTTAGCACTTAACAATACGGGGTGTCGAAATCCCGAGGTCCGTTCTATTTCACTCGTCCATTGATGGCCCCGCTTTGACTTCATGTTGAACTTTGACCTCTGGGTATGGCTTTCTTTTGACCCCCATGACCCTGATTTATACGGGAGATTAAAATCCCTAGACAGTGCTAGATATGAAGTGTTTGTTGTCTCGTTTGATCATCATCAAAAATTCGAGGACAAATCTTAGAATTTAAACTAAAATAATCTCAATTTAAGGCCCTCGTTTTATTTACAACCTCGCTCATAGCCAACATTTCCCTCAATTTATTGCCAAAGCCCTTTATACCACCAAAATTTCTCTGGACAAATGGTGACAGTCTAACTAGGTTTTACTGTATTCACCATGCTATATACAAGATATCTATAGTTTGACTACAGAATTTTTATCATAGCTTCACTTGTTATGACTAGTATTTAAATTTAACTTGTGAGCGTGATTCATTCAGCTGTAGGATCCTGAATTGATAAAACATGAATTTCACCAAAAGGCAAAGATAAATATGAAAGTTCGTTTCTACCATAATGGTGAAAAAAGAATTTAGAAATAATCAAAATTTCAAAAATTATCCTCTTTTTGTCAATTTTGACTGAGTTTTATTGTACATCACTTTTCAAAAGAGGATGAATACACGAGAAAACAGGTGCCTGATGACAGACAATAGAGCCTTATGTAACAGCACCAGAGACCCATACGAGTCAGGTAGCCTAAAACTGGTTTCCATCTTCTAGGGTAACAAGCCATTCGGATTGACATGTCTCGCCTGTGCCCCGCTTGACCATCAATGCACATCTTAAGTTTGCTTGGTCTAGCACTAATATTTTCAGAGAAATTAACTAACTTAAATGCAAAAACTTAATGTTGATGGAGATGCTGACAAAGTCGATGGACCATGAAAGGTAGGCAGCATCAGGCATTTGATGCATGGGTTGAGATGTACTACCTGAGATGCATCTATGGTCCAAGTTTGGTTGGTCTAGCACTTACACTTTCAGTGCAACTAACTTACCTGTAAACGCAAAAACTTAATGTTGACGCCGCTGCCGCCCCTTGAAAAGCAACACCTTAGTTTCACTTCCACTACTTCGTGGCAGCGAGACAAAAACTACAGAAATGTAGATTAAGATATTTATATTCATTTAAATTTAAAACAAAACAAATAATCAGTATTAAGAGTAAATAATAAAAAAAAATATCGGTATAACAATATAGACTTTAACTTAACTACAAGTGTACATTACCATCAGATCAACTCGAAGTGGTACAGGGTAAAAATCTCATATACTTTCTTTATCGATTAATTTGTTACAAAATATCTCATATCACGGCAAGAATATGAAATAGAAACCCATTAAATGATCAGTTCCTCATGAAGTGGAAATGGAGGTTACACAACGAGTGGTTGTTGAATATGGTATTTATTTCACTCGAGTTAGTTAATTTTCAAAAGTTACAAAAGACACGAACTTTAGCGAGTGTCTTTCTGTAACTTTTGAAAATTAACTAACGAGAGTGAAATAAATACCATACTCAACGACCACGAGTTGTGTGATCTGTTTCTACCACAATCTCAGCTAGAAACAGCTGGAGTATTTCCTGATTTGAAAAGCATACACACACTTTGTTGACAAGGCTGGCATAGTGATATGACCCATATGTAAAAAGTCACTCATTAATATTCAACAAATTTAATAATTTTCAAAATAATGTTTCGGCAACAACTTTGTGAAAAAATAAAATAGATGAACGACTTAAAATATTGAGAGTATGCAATATTGCATTAATTAATATAAATTAACCACAGACTATATGCGCGTAAGCATATCGTACGAAGTCTGCCTCATGTCAAGTGATGAAGACGAACTAATCGCTGTCAATGTCCAAAACCATAATCCTGGGACGTTTCTTCGTGAGGTTCTATGGTTGACGTTTATAGTGAGAGTTCCGCCATAGACAGGTCCTCCAAATATTGATAACGGGACATGGGGAGAACTAATTATTTTCCGACAATGTTACAGATCTTGTTTGGGTTTCACAGAGACATATATATTACATCTCTGGGTTTCACGACCTGGACACACGACGGTATGGCGTTGAAACGATATCGAGCGCCTGTAGCAATTTTGCTTGAAACTAGCGATCAAATCTTTAAGCATCATCCTCTTTTTGTATTGCCTTAATAACCCCCTTTTCCCATTGCATAACCTCACAAAACTCACCATTTACATTTGCCGGATGTTGACAGCATGCGACAAAAAAGCATGTGAAAATAGTTGCCAGGTCAAGGTTCATCTTCTCGACCAATCAAAACTACGGTAGGTCATATACCACGTGTGGTGTATAACTCACATTTATTCAACACTCTGCATGTTTATACAATAATCTGAGAGTGGAATAACACAGCGTATTGTGGTAGAATGGTATATATTACTTCCTTACACAATAAAACAACGATACAAACCACATGACCACATGCACTCTACAATTAAAACCTCCGCTTTCACAAACTACAAAATATCAAGTTTTGATTTGTCAATACTAAGTACAACCCACAATATAGAAGACGCTGGTATAACTACCCATTCAATAGTATACACACACACAACTAATATCATCAATAGCCCTGTAGTAGCAGTAGCTTCATTTGGCACTCAGAAAGTATCCCTTCAATTTTACGTGCATTCCTATGCTGAAAACCGTTTGGGGACTTGTCAAATTCTGGCTACCAGGAGTTGAATGCCAGAAGATGTTTTAACTTCAGCATAATACAACCAACTGAATGTATTCACGAAGATTACATGAAATGAAGAATCTACCACAATAGTTGTTTTCAGTTGCTAGTTTATACTTATGAGGTTGACAATACAATGGAAATTTCTCCTTTTTCCTTTTAAAGATTAAGGTCATCAAAAACTCTAAAATTTCTCTCTTTTTTATCGCTTCATGCTTATAAAGGCAATACATGTGTTAGTAAATATGATGTAAAATTCCTTATTTGAAGTCCTATTTAATTTAAACTTGCCAGTTGTCATTACAGATTCCTACTGGCAATGTTAGTACTGAGTATTTGTTACTGATAAGACACCGCGGTGGGAAATTCCTCCAGGTGCCCTGCGGGTTTGGTGGTCATTCAAGGTTTTAAAACTGGTAACTTGCATAGGTGGCTGTGAATGAGATTGGTATCAGCCACGGAGGGATGTTTCGTTGGTGCTCCGTCAGTTCTGGGGTGGTCTTGTGTCTACCGTGGAGGTAATAGCCACTGAAGGCCATGTCTACCACATGCTGGTCCTCTGGCCATCGTCCAGTCGTTGTCTAATGGAGAGAAAGGCTATTATCAGTATAAAGATCGAAGTCGCAAAATAATAACAATGACAATAGTTTGAGGTTCTTGTATATCACTTTATCAAAACCTTCTTCGTAGGTTGTCTCAAAGCGGTTCACAAATTATTATCCGTGGTAATAGGGCCTTTGCAACCAGCCAATATATTTCTCAACTCCCTGGGGAGCATACAGCCTGTGCTGCCATTTCAGCACTCACAACTAACATTTTAAAATTCCAGCACTGCCCAACCATGTACTCATTTACAGCTGATTAGACTGGAACAAATTTAACAATCACTAATATCCAAGAAATGACTGTATAAATTGTATTGGCGAGATATCCGTGTTACACTTTCATGTTTGACGTGTTCCCTTGTTTCCTCCTTTCTGTTATTTTTATAGTCATGTCGTTAGTAGGCATCATGTGGCAACTTTTAATAAAAAAAGACATATTTCTGGCCATAAGGGATCAGTGTAACAATGTTTTTTGATGTCATTTTCCATTGTGACATCATGCTCCATGGCAATTGTTTCCCCCATCAGAAAGTCACAATGTATTTTCCAAGGAAAAAAGGTGATTTTTCAGAAGAAATACGAACATTATGGGAGAAACAGGTTCTCAAACTCGTGATGATTAGTTATAACGCTAATCTAACTCTTGTTAGTTAATTTTCAAGTTGGAAAAGACACTCAATGAACCTCGTGTCTCCATACAATTTGAAGATTAACTAGCTCGAGTTAGATAACATGAGAACCAACCATCACTCGTTTGGGAACCTCTATTTGTTATCTAATATTAAGAAACAAAATCGTTTTGAAATATACAAACGCTGTCATCAATCAACAGATGGTAGATGTAAAGTAAAAGATTGAGAAGTCACCTGTATATCTATGAAGAATTTCCAGGGTTCGTGTGGAGTCTCGCCGTGACCATAGTACACGAAGTAGGATGTCTCGTTCATCTCCGGGAAGGTATAGACAGGCAGCGGTGTGCCTGGCAGTATGGACCAGCCCACCAGGGTCAGGTCAGACTGGGGGCAGATATACACCGTCATGTGGTCAGGACCTGTACAGGCAATGAAATACTGTAGTCATTCGTATGTTAATCATCTACTGTCAAGTTCATCAACTAAAAACATATCATAAGCAATAACAAATTACTGAATTTTACATAAAAAAAAATATAATTTCTTATAATACATGATAAAAGATCAACTGAAATCAAATCTGTAAATAACCATGAAAAATACTATCAGTAATTTTCACACATGAGTAGCCACAAAATACAAATTAATATATTACGTGTCCCTTGTTTTAACGTTTTGGTCAAACTTACCACTGTATATAGCATTTACACTACAATTATTAAATTTACTACATTAGAGGCCCAAAATAATTGTCTGAAATATAGACCAGTAAATTTGTCCGCCTTCTGACACAGTTTAAGTTACTGACTATTAATAGTGTGCCATGGCATTAAGCCTGGTTAGCTGTAACAGAAATAAAATGAGAAAAATATGATCAAGAGAAATCAAAATGCTATACAATCATTACAACAATAAACCAACATGTACAGGTTAAAACACTGTTCACAAAAAGGAAAACACCAACAAACATTAACTTAATATGCATCCAGACTTATTAGCACCTCTTGTCTATTAAGGGGGCTGCGGTGGCCAAGTGGTTAGGGCGTCTGACATTCTGCTACAACTAGCCCTCCACCACTGCGTCACGGGTTCGAGACCTATGGGGGCAGTCGCCAGATATAGGCTGTAGGTCGGAATCTCCGGCTTTCCTCCACCACCAAAACCTGGCACTTCCTTAAATGACCATAGCTGTTAATAGGATGTAAAACACAAACAAACCAAAACCTATTATATTATTATTAAATTACCTGTGACTTCAAAATTGAGTCGGAGAATATCTGGGGATACGGAGTGTTTGCTGACCAGAGCGGACACCACCTTTGGCTGAGGGTCGATGGCAGGTGTTGGTATGTACTTACTGTCCCTGTAAAACAAAGGGAAAATGTTATGAAGTATTACATCTAAGAAAAGTCATTCGAAAGACAAGGCAAAGCCCAACTGGAACAAGATTGCAACACATTGCCGAACTCCACCACTGACCACAAATGAAAATAAGGTTGGCCTTCCTCCCGTAAAATGTTTGCTGCAACCCCTCACACAAACGAATGTAGATATTGCTACAAGGAACTCAGAAAAGGAAAAGGTACCTTGGATAAGGAAGACATTTTTTTGTTTTTGATGATCGAAATATATTTACATGTAACTTAGAATATATATTACTATATACCTGGAATATTGTCTTTATTGTACCTCAGATTGAGATTAACATAACATGTGGTATGGTAATGACATAGGACCTGTATGGTTCCACTTACTTGGGATTTAGCAGATGTAGTATGGGTATAAAGTAGGGCAGACCGAAGTATGGTCCTTTCCCTCTCAAATCTGCGCTGGCCGTCTTATACACTGGGAAGTGCTCCTGAATCAGCTCGTCCCTGCGGAAGTCTTGGGGCAAGTACCACAAACCGCTGTCAGAATGAACCAGCTCTCCTTTCAGATTGTAATTTTTTCTGTTCATGTGCTTAAACACAGAATATCAATAACTCCATTAGGGTTGAATGGGTTAAACGAACAAAGAAACAAAAGGCCAAGTGGGCCTGTATCCCTCACTTGGACATTTAAGCAATGATAGCAATGATCTCATTAAAAGAAGTACGGCAGATAAGATCCCTGGGATAGGACCAGTCCCTGGAGCAACCATTGGTAGCATTTTTTTTATATCCAAATCTTCACTCAGCTAATGTATTTTATTGTTGCAAGGTGGGGGGGTTTCAGAAGTTCCAATGTTATCACTTGAGGACTGAGTCTAGAGAGTCGGTATTCTGAACAGATTCCAGGTACTGAGATCTAAGAGTAGACACTTACCACATGTGAAAATCTCTGAGGGGACGGAGAGTCTCTGTCACCACTGAAGGGAAATCCCACAGATGTAAATACAACAACTAGTAAGCCCAGGACAAATAAAGTGCCAACGGTCCTCAGAATGAGTCTCATATCACAGACATACATCAGGCCAAACTGCAAGGAGAAAACAAGTACGCTTGATCAAATAAGGTTTACACCCGAGAAAAAAAGAAAGTAGAAAACAGGTTCATTAGCTAAAACATGTGTTATAACTGAGGAATGAATGAAATAGAAAGCAAGAACATGTCAAACAAGGGTTTATCATACAAACAAAATTCACATCAGGTATGAAACATTGCAGTGCTATAACTTACTTGTATAATATCTAGTTCATTTGTTGTTACTTTAATTGGCATCTGTAACTAGTGGGTTATACTACAGTGACTTATAAGGTACTGACAGGTAGACAGTATAGTGTAACTAGTGGGTTATACGACAGTGACTTACTAGGTACTGACAGGTGGGCAGGATAGTGGAATTAGGGGGTTATACTACAGAGACTTACTAGGTACTGACAGGTGGGCAGTATAGTGTAATTAGTGGGTTATACTACAGGGACTTACTAGGTACTGACAGGTGGGCAGTATAGTGTAATTAGTGGGTTATACTACAATGACTTACTAGGTACTGACAGGTAGACAGTATAGTGTAACTAGTGGGTTATACTACAGTGACTTACAAGGTACTGACAGGTAGACAGTATAATGTAATTAGTGGGTTATAATACAGAGACTTATTAGGTACTGACAGGTGGGCAGTATAGTGTAATTAGTGGGTTATACTACGATGACTTACTAGGTACTGACAGGTAGACAGTATAGTGTAACTAGTGGGTTATACGACAGTGACTTACTAGGTACTGACAGGTGGGCAGGATAGTGGAATTAGGGGGTTATACTACAGAGACTTACTAGGTACTGACAGGGGGACAGTATAGTGTAATTCGTGGGTTATACTACAGTGACTTACTAGGTACTGACAGGAGGGCAGTATAGTGTAATTAGTGGGTTATACTACAATGACTTACTAGGTACTGACAGGTAGACAGTATAGTGTAATTAGAGGGTTATACTACAGTGACTTACAAGGAACTGACAGGGGGACAATATAGTGTAATTAGTGGGTTATACTACAGTGACTTACTAGGTACTGACAGGTGGGCAGGATAGTGGAATTAGGGGGTTATACTACAGAGACTTACTAGGTACTGACAGGTGGGCAGTATAGTGTAACTAGTGGGTTATACTACAGTGACTTTCTAGGTACTGACAGGTAGACAGTATAGTGTAATTATTGGGTTATACTACAGAGACTTACTAGGTACTGACAGGGGGACAGTATAGTGTAATTCGTGGGTTATACTACAGTGACTTACTAGGTACTGACAGGAGGGCAGTATAGTGTAATTAGTGGGTTATACTACAATGACTTACTAGGTACTGACAGGTAGACAGTATAGTGTAACTAGTGGGTTATACTACAGTGACTTACAAGGTACTGACAGGTAGACAGTATAGTGAAACTAGTGGGTTATACTACAGTGACTTACTAGGTACCGACAGGTAGACAGTATAGTGTAACTAGTGGGTTATACTACAGTGACTTACCAGGTACTGACAGGTGGGCAGTATAGTGTAATTAGTGGGTTATACTACGATGACTTACTAGGTACTGACAGGTAGACAGTATAATGTAATTAGTGGGTTATACTACAGAGACTTATTAGGTACTGACAGGTGGGCAGTATAGTGTAATTAGTGGGTTATACTACGATGACTTACTAGGTACTGACAGGTAGACAGTATAATGTAATTAGTGGGTTATACTACAGAGACTTATTAGGTACTGACAGGTGGGCAGTATAGTGTAATTAGTGGGTTATACTACGATGACTTACTAGGTACTGACAGGTAGACAGTATAGTGTAATTAGTGGGTTATACTACAGAGACTTACCAGGTACTGACAGGTAGACAGTATAATGTTATTAGTGGGTTATAGTACAGTTACTTACCAGGTACTGACAGGTGGGCAGTATAGTGTAATTAGTGGGTTATACTACAGTGACTTACTAGGTCCTGACAGGTGGACAGTATAGTGTAATTAGTGGGTTATAGTACAGTGACTTACTAGGTACTGACAGGTAGACAGTATAATGTAATTAGTGGGTTATACTACAGAGACTTACCAGGTACTGACAGGTAGACAGTATAATGTAATTAGTGGGTTATACTACAGAGACTTACTAGGTACTGACAGGTAGACAGTATAATGTAATTAGTGGGTTATAGTACAGTTACTTACTAGGTACTGACAGGTGGGCAGTATAGTGTAATTAGTAGGTTATACTACAGTGACTTACCAGGTACTGACAGGTAGACAGTATAGTGTAATTAGTGGGTTATACTCCAGTGACTTACTAGGTACTGACAGGTAGACAGTACAATGTGACTAGTGGGTTATATTAGAGTGACTTACCAGGTACTGACAGGTAGATAGTAAGAACAGTGTGACGAGAGTAGCCAAGGCCAGATCTGGGTTGATTGTGGTCCCGACTCGGCTCATGGTAGGAATAATGATGATAAGGAACATGTAGATGATGTACATTGAGGACAACAGAGGCAACAACATCCCACCCAGGTGTAACATCAACATTGTCTTCTTGTTATCTGAAACACAACAAAATGTTAGCTGTTACAACTTAACACATTGCACTTAACTTATTATGGAGACATCTTAACTCAAACATTTTAACAAATCTTTTATCTTACCTGTCTGACAAGGAAGATCAAACGATGGTTACTTTAAACAAATTTAATAAATGCTCTCATGTGTATCAAAATGTAATTATATTCACAATGCATCGAAATATAATTGAAGATGTGACTGTAACCTGAAAACTTTGTATACATTCCACCTTTTCCTATCTGAACAATGACATCATGATGGCACTGATTATTCGTTTGTAAATTTGTAGGCGGTGTCTTCAGTGGGCTACATAATGAATATCACAATCACTGGTCTGCTTGTTTGTTACAAGAAGATTATTTTAGATGCCCCAAATTTTACCCCTTTATTGTCCCTTATGGGCCCCCGAAAAGTCTACGGTTGACCCCTGTGATCATGGATATGGCTAACAAGAGGCCCAAGGGACCTGCATAGCTCACCTGGTATTAATTTCACACTTGTAACCTTAAAAGTGGGTCAAGGTCAAATCTATTTAATGAATTAAATTGAGCTTCTACCTAAATATCCCGACCTATGACTATTTGTCATTCAGAAGAACCTGTTTAAAGATTTTAGTGCGTTTGGCCTCTGTGACATTGAAAGTTTAAACAAGGCCATAAAGTTGAACGAACTTGCATTGGTAGCCATTCATTCCAGCATGCTAGTGGCCAATAATCATCATCTTCCAACAGTTTTAAACACTTTTTCATATTTGACCCCCAATGACCTTCAAAGTATGTCAAGGTAGTCATTTATCCCAGCATGCTACTTGATAAATCATCACCATGAGCCTTTTGGTTATTCAGAAGAGGTTATTTATAGCTTTTTTTAAAAACATTTGACCCAAGTGACCTTGAAAGTGGATCCTGGTCATAAATTTTAACAAAATTGGTAGCCCTTCATCCTAGTTTGCTACTGGCCAAACATCATCAACCTGGGCCTAAAGGTTATTGAGAGGAAGTTGTTTAAAGACAAAAGTTGACGCCAGACGGCCCTTCGGGCCAGGTGAGCTAAAATTGTAGTCCCCAAACTACAAGTCAACAGGTGTACCTATGAGGAATATAGTTATCTCTGATGGGTGTTCCACATGGGACACCGGCCACTTGTATCTTGAATATGTAGAGGTTGAGGAAGAGTTTAAACTAGGATACCAGGCAATAACCCTCATAGAAAACAGACAAATCCATGTAAAATACGTTTTAAGAAAGAATGACAGAATATATTCTATTTGACCTGTTTAACATTGTTATGAATATATTTTATTCAGATATTGGGTGTAGAAGGAGCCTACGTACAAAGTGCCAGTGTAAATATGTTCCATTCTGTAAGAACTGAAGCCAATATACCTCGCCAGTGTAGACTGGTCACCTGTGTGACACACTCGCGCAGCAACAGGGGGAACAGTACCCACAACATCACAAGGTACGCCATGCCCAGACCCAGGTAGGTCAGGATCAGGTTAGCCACTGCCAGCTCACACAGTACAGTGTCAAACATGAGTCTCTCCACATAAATAGGATCCAGACCCTGGCAACACAAAAAATAATCCCTCACATTTTATTTGTTATTAAAGCAGAGTGTTTTTGTCCCTTTGCTATTTGCACAGTTAAAGCTTTTTAAAACAAAATCTGTCTGGTTGGAAGTGAAATTAATTATCACTTATTCAATGACTGAAGTCTGCCTTTTCACCAGGCATGAAGAGAATACAGGAACAATGGAAAATGGCTCTGTTTATAAACATGGAAGTAGTGTTTGTTTTACTGCATAATGACATTTAAAATTGGAAGAATAGTTTCAAGAAAGAGAAGTATATTTTTCAAACAATATTAATATCAAACTTTGTACTATAGGCAGGTGTCTTTTACATGTTCATTTGAGTTTTAAGTTCTCTTGACATTTTTTATTATGCTTTGAAGACAGGCCTCAAATGACCAAATTATTTCACCATTGGAGAAATCACAGCGTTGACTCTACCCTAAGCCTTAGTAAACTTCCTTTTTCGCAGCTGTGGTCCCTAAAATGTTCTTAAGACAATTATTTTCCTCACCTTGAAGAGCCTGGGTTTACAGAACCGTGTCACTCACCTTGAAGAGCCTTAGTTTGAGGAACTATATATCTCACCTTGAAGAGCCTGGGTTTACAGAACTGTGTCACTCACCTTGAAGAGCCTGAGTTTACAGAACTGTGTCACTAACCTTTAAGAGCCTGAGTTTACAGAACTGAGTCACCCACCTTGAAGAGCCTGGGTTTACAGAACTGTGTCACTCACCTTTAAGAGCCTGGGCTTACAGTACTGTGTCACTCACCTTGAAGAGCCTGGGTTTGAGGAAGAGCTGCATGCTGACGATGCTGAAAAAGCCAGGCATGACAAACAGAAACCACATGGTGGAGGTGTTGGTGTACCAGAACATCGACCTGCCACAAAGACTGAGGGGCAGGGCCACACCCACCACCACAACCAGTACACACACAATCCAAGTGGCTGTAGTTGCCATAAACCCAGCAAGCATGTTCTTCAAATGTGTAAAACCACCAACAGAGGTCTTCATAGAAGCTATATATAAAGGCAAGTTTTATCAACAGAAGCGGATCAATTGTGCAAAACAGGAAGGTAAAATTGCACATACAATTAAAATATCTATTTCAAACTTTGCCTGTTCCTCAGATATCCGATATAATAAAAAAATATATCTTTACTGAAATATTTTTTTTACAAATCTGTTTATTCTTACTCCAATAGTTCCTTAATTTTATCGATATTATCCATTTTACCAAGAACCTATGTTTTCCAATGTTCATAGTAGACTTTTTTGCCATGTCACATGATTTGAGCATGTTACAAGAACTGAATCAATGATTGAGAATGAGAACGGTTTCATGAATATGGTCCCAGATCAACTGGGTGTTATTCATCGGTTATCAGTCGTGCTGTAACACACAATAATGCTGGTCTGGATTATATTAATATAAGCCCATACCTTGTGATGCTTGTGTTCTCTCTGCTCTCCTGTAATACAAACAGAAACATCAGACCAGCAACATAATTTATATCACTGTGAATATTTATTTGTTTACATGTTTTACAGCATTCAATTTTGCAAATAATAAAACAAATACGTTATTTAAAGCACAACTATGAAAACTAAGTGAGGTACAAAATGTATATAACAAAACATACCTTATTTATCTTAAAAATCGAGGAGAGTAAGGTTTAAATAATGTATTATCAATCTTCAGTATTACGGGGGTATATGTACAGAACATTTAGAACTATTCACTCTACTGTCTTCTATATACTGCCTTACCTGCAAATGTGTTTATGACCTGAAGCTTATTGTAAGTTAACCATGCTTACCTATAATGTGTATCATTTTCCGCAAAACCATTTTCCTGCTTTGCATGCTGAAATCCTAAAAAAGTAAAAATCAGTTTTAAATATGAGATTCAAACAGACATCTGTAATTAATGATTAATGATTCATAATGAAATATGTGACAAGGGAAAATATTCATTTTTATGTACATGCCAGGTTTTGATGGTGGAGGGAAGCCGGAGTTCTTGGAGAAAAAACGCCGACCTGCGGCCAGTACCTTGTGTCTGGCCCCTCGTATAACTCCGGCTAGTGGAAGCAGTATATTAAACGCCTTAACCACTTGGCCACCGCGGCCCCCTCACTATAACAATACATTTGTATGAACCAAAAACCAATACAACACAAAAGGGACCATCTGTATGGAACTACAACAATTCTGTCAGATGAAGTGGACTTTTCACGCTAACCTGTGTGGACACGACCGGCATTAGCCTCCCGCCACGGTGACCTGAGGGTGTGTCAGTAATTAACCTGTGTGGACTCGCCCAGCAGTAGCCTTCCGCCAAGGGGACCTAAGGGTGTCAGTAACTAACCTGTGTGGTCACGACCGGCATTAGCCTCCCGCCACGGTGACCTGAGGGTGTGTCAGAAACTAACCTGTGTGGATCCGACCAGCAGTAGCCTTCCGCTACAGTAAGATGTAGGTGCAGCAGGAAATGATACAGTTGAGTATAGAACCAATCCTCTTCGGGTAGTGGACCACTACCAGTCCAACCAGGTCATAGAACACCATGTTACCATGGCGATCGTCCCCAGGGTCATCTAGTTTAGGATCGGTGGCCAGAGCCTGGACAATGCTCAACAGGTTCTCACCTATGTTACAGTACCAAAAAGTATTGTCAGGTAATCAGGTATTGTAGTAAGATTAACACAACTAATATTATCACATGAGTAATAGTATTGAGATTATCACCCAGGTAATAGTACTGGGGTTATCACCTAGTTATAGTACTGAGACTATTACCTAGGTGATAGTAATGACGTGACTGAGAGGTTATCACCTAGGTAATAGTATTGTGTGGACACGACCAGCAGTAGCCTTACGCCAAGGTGACCTGAGGGAGTGTCAGTAACTAACCTGTGTGGACATGCCCGGCATTAGCCTCCCGCCAAGGTGACCTGAAGGTGTGTCAGTAACTTACCTGTGTGGACACGACCAGCAGTAGCCTTCCGCCAAGGTGGCCTGAGGGTGTGTCAGAAACTAACCTGTGCGGACACGACCGGCATTAGCCTCCCGCCAAGGTGACCTGAAGGTGTGTCAGTAACTTACCTGAGTGGACACGACCAGCAGTAGACTTCCCCCAAGGTGACCTGAGGGAGTGTCAGTAACTAACCTGTGTGGTCACGACCGGCATTAGCCTCCCGCCAAGGTGACCTGAGGGAGTGTCAGTAACTAACCTGTGTGGGCACGACCGGCAGTAGCCTTCCGCCAAGGTTACCTAAGGGCGTGTCCGGAACTAACCTGCGTGGACACGATCGGCAGTAGCCTCCCGCCAAGGTGACCTGAAGGTGTGTCAGTAACTTACCTGTGTGGGCACGACCGGCATTAGCCTCCCGCCACGGTGACCTGAGGGTGTGTCAGTAATTAACCTGTGTGGACTCGACCCGCAGTAGCCTTCCGCCAAGGTTACCTAAGGGCGTGTCCGGAACTAACCTGCGTGGACACGATCGGCAGTAGCCTCCCGCCAAGGTGACCTGAGGGGGTGTCAGTAACTAACCTGTGTGGTCACGACCGGCATTAGCCTCCCGCCACGGTGACCTGAGGGTGTGTCAGAAACTAACCTGTGCGGACACGACCGGCATTAGCCTCCCGCCAAGGTGACCTGAGGGTGTGTCAGTAACTTACCTGTGTGGGCACGACCGGCAGTAGCCTTCCGCCACAGTAAGATGAAGGTGCAGCAGGAAATGATACAGTTGAGTATAGAACCAATCCTCTTCGGGTAGTGGACCACTACCAGTCCAACCAGGTCATAGAACACCATGTTACCATGGCGATCGTCCCCAGGGTCATCTAGTTTAGGATCGGTGGCCAGAGCCTGGACAATGCTCAACAAGTTCTCACCTATGTTACAGTACCAAAAAGTATTGTCAGGTAATCAGGTATTGTAGTAAGATTAACACAACTAATATTATAACATGAGTAATAGTATTGAGATTATCACCCAGGTAATAGTACTGGGGTTATCACCTAGTTATAGTACTGAGACTATTACCTAGGTGATAGTAATGACGTGACTGAGAGGTTATCACCTAGGTAATAGTATAGAGGTTGTTACCCTGGTAACAGTTAAGTAATCACCTAGGAGGTAACAACTTTAGATTATCACCTATGTGATAGTACTGAGGTAATCACCTAGGTAACAGTTGAGGTTATTACCTAGGTGATAGTACTGAGGGTATTACCTAGGTAACAGTTAAGGTTATTACCTAGGTGATAGTACTGAGGGTATTACCTAGGTAACAGTTAAGGTTATTCCCTAGGTGATAGTACTGAGGGTATTACCTAGGTAACAACTTTATGTTATCACCTTAGTGATAGTGCTGAGGTTATCACCTAGGTAACAGTTGAGGTTATTACCTAGGTAACAACTTTATGTTATCACCTAGGTAACAACTTTAGGTTATCACCTAGGTAATAACTTTATGTTATCACCTAAGTGATAGTGCTGAGGTTATCACCTAGGTAACAGTTGAGGTTATTCCCTAAGTAACAACTTTATGTTATCACTTAGATGATAGTAAAGAGGTTATTACCTAGGTAACAACTTTAGGTCATCACCTAGGTGATAACATAAAGTTATCACCTAGGTGATAACCTAAAGATGTTACCTAGGCAATAACCTCAACTGTTACCAAGGTGATATCCTCAGTACTATCTCCTAAGTGATAAACTAAAGTTGTTACCTAGATAGTTGCCTCAGTACTATCACCTAGGTAATAACCTCAAGTTTTACCTAGATAATAACCTCAACTGTTACCTAGGTGATAACCTCAGTACTATCACCTAGGTGATAACCTAAAGTTATCACCTAGGTAACAACTTTAGGTTATCACCTAGGTGATAGTACTGAGGTTATCACCTTGGTAACAGTTGAGGTTATTACCTAAGTAACAACTTTATGTTATCACCTAGGTAACAACTTTAGGTTATCACCTAGGTAATAACCTCAGTACTATCCCCTAGGTGATAACCTCAGTAGTATCACCTAGGTGATAACCTTAAGTTGTTACCTAGGTGATAAACTCCAAACTATCATCTAGGTGATAACCTAAAGATGTTACCTAGGTGATAACGTAAAGTTGTTACTTAGGCAATAACCTCAACTGTTAGCTAGGTGATAACCTAAAGATGTTACCTAGGTGATAACGTAAAGTTGTTACTTAGGGAATAACCTCAACTGTTAGCTAGGTGATAACCTAAAGTTGTTTCCTAGGTGATAACATTACCTAGGTGATAGTACTGAGGTTATCACCTAGGTAACAGTTGAGGTTATTACCTAGGTAAAAACTTCATGTTATCACCTAGGTAACAACTTTAGGTTATCACCTAGGTAATGTTATCACCTAGGTAACATCTTTAGGTTATCACCTAGGTAACAACTTTATGTTATCACCTTAGTGATAGTGCTGAGGTTATCACCTAGGTAACAGTTGAGGTTATTACCTAGGTAAAAACTTCATGTTATCACCTAGGTAACAACTTGTTATCACCTAGGTGATAGTACTGCTGAGGTTATCACCTAGGCAACAGATGAGATTATTACCTAGGTAACAACTTTTGGTTATCACCTAGATGATAGTTTGGAGTTTATCACCTAGGTAATAGTTGAAGTTATAACCTAGGTGATAGTACTGAGGTTATTATCTAGGTAACAACTTTAGGTTATCACCTAGGTGATAGTACTGAGGTTATTACCTAGGTAACATTTGAGGTTATTACCTAGGTAACAACTTAAGGTTATCACCTAGGTGATAGTACTGAGGTTATTACCTAGGTAACAACTTTAGGTTATCATCTAGGTGATAGTACTCAGGTTATCACCTAGGTAACAGTTGAGGTTATTACCTAGGTATCAATTTTAGGTTATCACCTAGGTGATAGTACTGAGGTTATCACCTAGGTAACAAGTTTAGGTTATCACCTAGATGATAGTACTGAGGTTATCACCTAGGCAACAGATGAGATCATTACCTAGGTATCAACTTTAGGTTATCACCTAGGTGATAGTACTGAGGTTATGATCTAGGTAAAAGTTGAGGTTATTACCTAGGTAACAACTTTAGATTATCACCTAGGTGATAGTACTGAGGTTATCACCTAGGTAACAGATGAGATTATTACCTAGGTAACAACTTTAGGTTATTACCTAGGTGATAGTTCTGAGGTTACCACTTAGGTAACAACTTAAGGTTATCACCTAGGTAACAGTTGAGGTTATCACCTAGGTGATAGTACTGAGGTTATTACCTAGGTAATAACTTTAGGTTATCATCTAGGTGATAGTACTGAGGTTATCACCTAGGTAACAGATGAGGTTATTACCTAGGTAACAACTTTAGGTTATCACTTAGATGATAGTATTGAGGTTATTACCTAGGTAATAGTTGAGGTTATTACCTAGGTGATAGTACTGAGGGTATTACCTAGGTAACAGTTAAGGTTATTACCTAGGTGATAGTACTGAGGGTATTACCTAGGTAACAACTTTAGGTTATCACCTAGGTAGTTGTATTACAAAGGTTATTGTTTTGGTAGCTGAAGAGGTTTTGTCTAGGTATTAGTATAGTCTTGGTAACAGTTGAGTACCTGCTCTCTGTAAACACCCAGGAGGAATGGCCTGAGGAACATCATTCATAGTGTGGTAGACATAGCCATTAGAAATGTATGCAATATCCAAACCTAAAAAATACACAATAAGCGCAAATCAATATGAGGATACATTAGATGATGCACCTTTTTCCTATATGCTCCATGGTTGGATTATAATCATGTATGTGGTGGTCGGTGATATTGACTCAATGTTACTAATTTTAGAAACAGCAGGTTAACATTCACTTATTGACATCATTTCTATTGTAACATCACAATGCTCTCTGCCAAATGCAGTACATTATCTCTCCATACAATTTTCATACTTTTCACCTTGTTTGAATAAATTGTTCAACTTCTTCGATATTAATTAGATAAACACCAATATCAGATAAACAGCTTATTCATATAATATCTAACCACAATATTTATTCTGAAAACATGTTGGTTTTTAAACATTATGACGTTTCCATTTCAGAACACATGTACAAATACTTTTAAGAACTGATTACTGATACGAAGATAATACACGTTACATTAACATGTAGCCCAGATGTTACAGCTTAAGATCAATCATTATAATGAACAAACAAAACATCTACGTACTCACCAGGAATCTTGCCGTAATCCCTGAAGATGCGGTAGTCTGTGTCCGCCGGGACAAGACCTAGCTCAAAGACCTCCTGGTTTATTACAGAAGCACTCGGGTACACAGCCGCCTCTAAATACACTTTGACCAGCCAGGGGTGCTGTGGACCTGTAGACACGGACAAACGTCTCTGGTTAGTACCGTGATGGTTTTACCCGTGAACTACTAACAGTACTACTTAATTTACATATTTTCCCATTAATCAGAGTATTCAGACGTTTCAAGAAAGTTTTTTCTGGTATCATTTCAAAGTATATATCTGTAATTGGTCCTTCTATAACTTAAAAACCTTGTAAATGAAACATCTGAGATAAAAAATTAAAATTGAACTCATACATCAAATTTAAGTGAGTCAAATGCAATATATATATATATATCCGCCTGAAGAAGCCCTAGAAGGCAGAAAGGCCTAGAGGACGATCTGAAAAATTTGTGTTTTTATTCTATATTTTCTTCGCAAGGAATTATTTATTTATTATCTACTATATATATATGTATAACACTGAATAGAAACCCAACCTCTTTGAAAAAAATTGCCTTTACATCTGAAACTTAAAGATCACATGCAAGTAGAATTTTTAAAGAGCGATTGATCTGTGTTGAGATCTAAACCGAAAGGTGGTTGTCTCTCAACGCAAGTTTTATATCAAGCTATATGTGGTATTCATGGGTTATCTTTTCAGCACCCCTCAAGCATTTATTTCATGTGGGTTGTTTTTTTCTTTTTTTTCTTCTTGATAATATCACTATTTTGATTACTTCTTTATAAACTTTACCCTAATAATGGTTTCTTATTGGTTTTATTACCAAAAATAATCAACAAAACAAATTATAATAAAGATGTTTGAAAAGTTATTGTCTAGATCAAAGATAGATAAGAAGGTTTGTAGAAAAAGAAAAAGAAAAAGACTCGGGTGAATAGTAAATGGGTCCACTCGTAAGATAATGGATCCGGTGGACAGGTAACACGTCTGGTGAATACCAAATGAGCCAAGTAAATTGATCATGTACAACAGACTGTAAAAGCTGGCGTGGATTTACAAAAAGCCTATGGATTAATTAGTACAGTGGTGGTTTTACCTGTCAACTGTACTCACAGTACTTCATAATTGACATATTTTCACATTAGTTCGAGTATTCAGACATGTATCAAGAAAGTTTTTTTCTGGTATAATTTCAGAGTACATATCTGTAATTGGTCCTTCTATAACTTTAAAATTCTTGTAAATGAAACATTTGAAATAAAAATAAAAATAAATGAACTCATAAATTTGTACATTTAACTTTGGTAAATCAAATGCTATATATATAAATATCACTGAAAATAAAAGCCACCTTTTAAGAAAACATTGTTTTTAAACATCTGAAATTTCAAGATTACATGCAAATATAACTTTTAAAGAACGGCAGATCTGTCTTGAGATCTCAACTGCGAGAAGGATGTCTCTCAAAGCAAGTTTTGCAGCAAGCTATGTGCTTTTCATGGGTAATCTTTTCATCATCCCTCAAGCATTTGTTTTCTTTTCTTGATAATTTCACTATTTTGATTAGTTCTTATAAAATTTACCCTAATAATGGTTTCTTATTGGTTTTATTACCAAAAACAAAACAAAACAAAAAACAGGAGGCCCATGGGCCTTAACGGTCACCTGATGTATTTATACAGAAAGTTGATTTTGTTTTTAACATGAACAGAAATATTATTCAAAGTGACAAAAAATCTGATTTTTCTAAACAAGGAAAATGAAGTAATTTTAGCACACTGACTCATTTGGGCCCCACCCTACAGCCCTTGGGGGTATGGCTGGCTCAAAATGTTCAAAGAATCAAACTGTCAACTCAGGGTTATAATTCCGATCAATTTATTACCATATAATGTTCAAAGTATCATTTGCCATTATAAACCATAATAAATTTTGCCCCCCCCCCTCCTTCCCCAGGGGGTAAACATGAGACCCTAGGGTCATAAACCTTAAGACCCTTCCATCTATGAAGAGTGTTTGATTCTACCATATCTGGGTCTTTGAGAAGAAGATTTTTGAAATTTCAGTCAATTAAACCCTTTTTGGCCCCATCCATCAGTCCCTGGGGGTCAGTCAGGGCTAATATGTGCATACCATCAAACTGCTACCTAATACTGATAATGCTAACCTAAATTGAATTACATCCAATGGAAATTAAACAAATGTTGGTCCAAAATGTGATTTCCCTATATAAACTATAGTAAAGTTTACCCCTCCTAAGGGGGAAACGTGAGACCCCAGGGTCATGATCATGAAATTCACAATTTTGGTAAAGCACCTTAAGACCCTTCCATCTATGAAGAGTATTTGATGGTCTTGAGAAGAATTATTTTTGAAATTTCTGTCAATTCAACCCTTTTTGGCCCCACCCATCAGCCCCTGGGGGGCAGTTAGGGCTAATATGTGCATACCATCAAACTGCTTCCTAATACTGATAATGCTAACCTAAATTGAATTACTTCCAATGGCAATTAAACAAATGTTAATCCAAAATGTGATTTCCCTATATAAACTATAGTAAAGTTTACCCCCTCCCCAGGGGGAAATGTGAGACCCCAGGGTCAAGAAATTCCCAATTTTGGTTAAGCACCTTAAGACCCTTCCAACTATGAAGAGTATTTGATTCTATTATATCTGGGTCTTGAGAAAAAGATTTAGAAATTTTAGTCAATTTGACCCTTTTTGGCCCCGCCTCTCAGGCCCCTGGGGGTTTGGGGACCAAATCAGCCACTATTTGTGTTGACCTTTGGCCATGGAAGGTTTCTGCAAAATTTCATTGAAATTGGTTCAGGGGTTTTGGAGAAGAAGTCGAAAATGTAAATTGTTTACGGACGCACGAAGGACAAAAGGCGATCGCAATAGGTCACTTAGACCTAAAAATCATAATAAAGATGTTTGAAAAGTTATTGCCTAGATCAAAGATAGATAAGAAGATTTGTTAATTTGTTCGTTTTAACAGAAAAAGACTCGGGTGAATAGTAAATGGGTCAAGGGAGCACTCGTAAGATAATGGATCTGGTGGACAGCTTACACGTCTGGTGGACAGGTAACACGTCTGGTGAATACTTAATGAGCCAAGTAAATTGATCATAAGCAACAGACTGTAAAAGCTGGCGTGGATTTATTACATGTTGAAAATACACGACAGCCATGGTTGACAAAAGTGCTTTATATTTAAACAATAAACAATAGGTGCAGAGTGGTTAAATCCAAATTTCTGTTTACTACTGTACATTCATAGGAAGTACAATACTGAAACAAAAATATCTGGGTAGCATTTCCTAGACAGTGAACTGTCCATTATTGCCTAAATTCTTAATATCAAACTTATCTCAGAGTTAACCTCAGGGCTGATTTATCACACCTATCATCAAATTTAGTAATGTTACCTATTTAAACATCTTACGACTCAAACCACTGAAGTCACTCACGGCTGTGAGGTATATGTGCTAAATCTTTAAAGCAGAAATCCAAGCAAGCAATACAAAATGATGTCAGGAAGACTAACTTTTTTAACTTTTTTTTTTTATTTTTTTTATTGCTGCTTTGGTGCTGCAGCAGTAGACTCAATTTTGATGCAGGGAAGCTTGAGGAGTCTGGTTGTAACATAATTAGCATGCTGTACAACAGAAGCTTTTCCATGTCTTGTACATATATGACAATCAAATGAAATTAGATATGACTACCTGCACCACCTACCAATCAAAGTTATTTTATATTTCCATAAATGCACTCTAGATCTGTAAGAAGCCATGGCTGAAATCATTCTGCAGAATATAATATTTCTGGCAGGTAGCAACAGGTATGTACTAGATGGAGTAGGAAACAGGAACACCCACAGATAAAGTGCTGCATAAGGCCAGAAGTATATTGGAAAATAAAAGCAAAGTTTTGTACAACAAATAGACTGGCTACCAGCTGCCCCTAAGATTTTATGAAGAATTAATTGCCCGGCTACATTTTACTACCAGCTTATCTCCCCCTAGTTTGAGAACTTCTAGAATCGGACATCCAAGTAAGCAAAATTACCAGATTTTTTTTCTACATAGTTCAATATTCTAGAGATGGGGGCCAGTCTATACAGCAAAAGAAACAAAACAAATCAGAGTAATACAAGCAATCTATAGTCCTCACCATCAAACAAACTAAAGTAACAAAAAAGAACAAAAGGCCATGTAACCATATGGTGTGGAGCACAAGACTCCATTCAAGTATGCAACACTCCAACATCAAAGGAGTATAACTTTCATACAAGTGCGAGTAAATATGGCAGCAAAAAACAAAACTTGTTAGTGCAGAACTTGACTAGAGTTCCCGACTGTTTTGTAGACAACTCTCCCCACAAGCAATCAAAAGAGAGAGGGCATACATTCTTAATAATTCTTCATGCTATTTCCGTTTTTAGTCAATATTCTCCAAATTCTTTTGTCATTCAAGCAAAATGCTACCGGAGTATGCGGAAATCTGAAGCGCCACATACAGTGAACCTCACGCTGTCATCGGTCGGGAAACCAATAGATGTAAGAGTATGTAACATATGCTCCAGACAAGTGGTCCATGGTGAATAATTTAGGACCATAACTTCATATAATGTGGGGCATGAGACTTCAGTAAGGAGCACTCAAGCTCTGTCCTTCAAACGTACTCGCGTATAAAATTTGGTAAATGCACAGGGTAATTGAAAGAGTTTGTGAGATTTGCCCATGACAAAGTGACCCACTGACAAATTGATAACTCAAACAGAGGGATGGACGGACAGACTGACAGATGGAGTGCAAACTTTAGTAGCACCAGTGGGGGATTCATTATATGAAAGTCAATATTTTTATTGTAACACATGTAATATGAAGACAAAATATTAAATTTGACATCATTAACAACAGTTAGTCCACAAATATGTTATTTTTGCCTGTGTTTTATCTTGTTTTCTCCCACAACCACTGTAGGTTTCCTCACTCCTGATTCACTGGATAAACCTGCTAGGAGTTGGTAAACATTTTTAGTTACCCACTAGTGGGTGACACCCTGGACGTGATTCCATTGGTCAATTGTTTACTTGTGACGTGACGTCACAATGCTTTGCAACGTCATGATTCATGGCAATTGTTTTTCCCCATCGGAAGCCGACAGTGTATTTTCAAGGGAAACATGTGGCTTTCAAGATAAAGCATGAACCCTATGGGAGAAAAGGGACCCCAAACTTGTGATGGTTGGTTATCATGTTTATCTAACTCTCGTTATTTAATTTCCAAATCGTAATTGACACTCAGCAAACCTCGTGTCTTTATGCAATTTGAAAATTAACTAACTCGAGTTAGATAAACATGATGACTTACCATCACTGTTTGGGGAACCTCTATATAACTATTTGGAGAATCAAAGGTACATGAACAAGGACAAGTATTCATTGTGGGTATATACATTGGGGATTGTGCAGGTGATAGGCATTTCCTGATCTGTACTGAGGTGAACCCTAACATAGCAGTACTACATAGGATATATTAATACCTAGCCACAAATATCTCTACAGTAATTCTCTGTACACCGCAGAATAATTACCTCTGTATAGAGTTCACCTAGAAGTATAGAGTAGAGTTATTTCAGCAAATTCAACATCTAAGTCAACAAACATATTTATAATTTTTCATGATTGTGCAAATCATACATTTGGACAAGGGGTATGTCTACCAATCAATATTTTTCTTATACAAGTTTTGGAAGCCGGGAAACTCTAAAAGCTGGAACAAATCAGTTTGTCGTTGAATAAAAAAACATATGACAAACTGGTTTTTTTCGAAAGAGGGGACGGGTGTTTTTGTTTTGAATATGTGTACTGATTGCAAAGTCAATTATGAAAATGATTGATGAGTATTAGATGACCTTAACATTGATATGATAAAGAAAGGTTAAAATAAGTCTGTATACCACATAAGACAAATACTGTTGTGTAGGATGGAGATACCTGTTTGGAAGACAATTTCCCAGCCACCAGCTCCAGCCGAGTCCAGGTTAATGAAAGCTTTAATACTCTTGGCCCAGTGGTGTTTGGTGATAAATCCATGACTAGCCTGTCAGAAGTAATAAATGTTAATAATTTGGTAAATCATGCTTATTTTGATCCTTTTAACTATCTGTTGTTATGGTTGCCAGTATTTTTGCAATTTGGAGCTGGAAGATAAATCTATAGGGCATGTTACTCAGCCATTTTTGCTTACTGATCATCTAACTAAAAGTTTCCATACATTTAATTTTATTTCTGGTAATTTCTGTTTATTTGCAATAAGAAACGTAACAGTTACGTACCCTTAACGTACCAATAGTGCCAATTTGGTAAGCTATATGATTTTTTTCATATAATGCGATGCGCTCTGGCCCCACACCAGACATCTATATGTCAAAATGTCTAAGTCTGGTGTTAGGGCCAGAGGAAACACAGGCTACTAGTTTGGGAACTACTTTTCTAAATTCAGACTTTGATATACTTTGCTTTGTTGGCCGACATTTTGAGGCTTGTTTTAGTAAAAATTCAATGATTAAATGCTTATGCAATAAATGGTGATAAAGGAGAAAATATTATCATTGCAAAAACATGGACAGAAACGTTAACAAACTTCTTCAACTAATAGAAATAATTTTATTATTAAACAACTTATATTATATTTGTAAAACTTTCACACACTGTTTTAATGTTTTAAAATTATACCAGGGGTATATAGCATACTATTTTTCTACTTTTTCTGAATATGGTCTTGGTCGATTTGTATTTTATCTAGAAAAACTATCTATTATGTCTATTGTTGCATTTAATATACAATGTCAATAACTTTAACTATATAAGTTCCATGTACAGAACAATTCAATTTATATAAGAAACCTATTCTTTCCAGAAATAATTTAATATAAATAAGAAGGATGTCTAAATGTAGTTATAACCTTCCACAAAAAAAAAATATATACATATAGGCCTAATAAGCCTTACATAACATTTTGCATTATAATTTATTTATGACTTCAATTTTGCATTACTATTTTTTTCCAATTTTTGCGAACAGAGATATGGAAATGCACTAATTAATAAACTGCATATCTTGTTTGTACCTGTAAAAGGTTTTCCTCCGCTCCGTTGAATAAGAATATAATGTTATGCATCAATGGCTTGCTGGACTGGGATAGTGAACGTGCAATTTCAAGCATGACCGCACAGCTTGACATATCATCGCCTGCACCTGTAATGTAATTAAAACACATCATGTGCATAATATATTGTCATAACCTTCTTATAAATAACGTGTCAATTCAAGTTATGTAGCTAACAGGTTGGGCACAACGGCGCATATGGGTAATAATCCTGCATTTTGGTAACATCTTTGTATGTTATGGTTGAATGCACTTCAAATCTACTTTCACTATGTTATATATAAAAAAATCAAAATTTTGTACTTATACTATCTTTATTAAAAATCGCTATTTATATGGTTATTATAAACAACTTTTGGTTGAACGTTTTTTCGTGTTTTGACATTTTCGTGATTTTAGATGTCCCGACTTTTCTAAGGCTTCAAAGGTCGTGAACAATCAAAAGTTGTTTGTAATAACCAATAGATATGGCTATTTTTAATAACGCAAGTGAAGTACAAAATTTTGATTTTTTTTATATAGGATAGTGAAAGTAGATTCGAAGTGCATTCAACCATAATATACAAAGATGTTACCCAAATGCAGGATTATTTCCCATATGCGCCGTTGTGCCCAACCTGGCTAATTGACTGGAAGGTCAAAATGTAGGTCACGTTTATTTACCTATAGCATCCACCATCGTGTCATAGTGACAGTTCATCAACACGCTGTGTGTAGCTCCAGAAACTGGCCCTAGCCTCACTACAACGTTCTTAAGGTTCTTGTACACACTATAAAAGTCTGTGTTGATAAAGAACAGATGAAAAGATCCACTCGTGTTCTGTACATCTATCAACATCTCCTTTGATTCGTGCAGATGGTCTTTAAACGCCAACAATTCTTTTAAAATATAGTTTTTGGTATGTAGTTCATTTGCTTCACTACCGGCTGGTCGCTGTCCAAAGCTTGTCACAGTTTCTAGATGTCGACGTGCTAGATTTTCATAAAATACTCCTTCCAATGGTTTGTCGTCTGCGATACGAGGTTCGGGGAACTGATGGAACCTCAAACACACAAATAAAAACACACCAATATACAATCCGAATATCAAAAACCAAACGAAAAAAGATTCGTAATATCCAAAGGTTGAATTCCAATTTTCTACAGTTAAATGTCTTGATGCATAGTTAGATTTATCGGAGTTTTCTTGTGGCTGACGTCTCCGTCGCAAAGCTTGCACGGAGGCTGCCATGTTGGAATTAACACGTAAGTATCAGTGTAGTCGTTTCCTCATATTTCATACAGCTAGGCTCGAACAGCGTGAACCAAACACGCACCTGGCGATTGCGCGGTTGTGGTATTCCTTTGATTTGATTGGATGAAAATCTTTTGCATGAGGCGTTTTGCCAACAAAGTACTGCAAGAGGGTCGAGTCAGCTTATGAGCCTGGTGACATAATGTCTGGTGCAAGTGCAAGGTTTAAACCTAATGAAGGAGACTGGATTTGTCCAGATACAAAGTAAATATTCATAAATGACACATGCATATATGGCAAACTAACTCTGTCATAGGTTGATGGATAGTATCGGGCATCGATGAACCTCGTAGGCCCCGGGCGTATGTCCATTCATGATCAGGGTCTCATCTGGCGATCTGCTACTTAAAATATGCAGATCATATATCAGCACGCTATGCTACCACGCTGATATAACCCAGCTTCATATCATCGGGTTAAAAAGCTCTAACTGTATTATCCATGTTTCGGTTATAATAATAACGCATGACTGTCATTCAGTGATATTCAAAGTAATCTGACCATTAAAAACCCTGCAAAGAGGAAATAGTTCTTTTGAATAAGGAATGTTGTTAATTGTGGAGTGACACGTGTACTTGTTATATTTATGACCATCTAGATATTTATGTACTGCCATTTTTTTCAATGCTGTTGGAAAGCATGTATTATTAAATTATTGTACATGTGTCACTTAGAGAATGCACAGAACTACTAAAGAAAGGCATCGTCTCAAATTAAATCAGATGATAAGAAACTTCTCAACTCTTAATCAAACTTATTTGTAAATGTTCTGTTTGGAAATAACTTAAAAATGACCCTTTGGCATTTATTGGCTGAGATAAATATCATGTGTGTCAAACTAGTCCTGAATCAAAACCAGTATGCAATCGTATAAAAACCTATGAAGATTATTATTCAAATGTATTGCAATGTCATCGACCCACTTTCAAGAAGATATGGGTCAATTAATTATGTGATTTGGCCTGTAGCTTGTTGATGAAAAGGAACTTTGACCAAATAAATTGCTTGGAGCAACTTTTTTTATTCACCTTAGACAAATAATATCATGTGAAAAAGTGCACATGGAAACAACCTCAACAAAAATAATCTTAAGGTCTAGAGTAATAACATTGGGCCTGTATAAGACAACATATATACACACAATATGTATGCACTTGATATTAAGTAATTAACTGAAATGTAATATTAACTGTCTAGAGTATCTCAAGATATCTTACAACAATTAACAGCCATTTAAATGGTACCATTTCTATTCTGCACATTATTTTTTGTTCGTTAGACTTTACATTTAGCTAATATCAAGAGTGCCAAATTAATCGACTTTCTTTTTGGATACATTTCTGGCAGAACCGCAAAAGTATATCAAATGTAGCTATTTAGGTCAGTGTGATTTTCCACTTATTTAAGTGACTTTTATATTTAGCTCCATTTCCCATCAAAGCAACAAAAGGTGTGTGTGTGTACTTTACAGACATGCTCTATGTCACATCTAGAGTATTTCCTGTGGCTTTGGCTCATGTTGTACATGTACTACAAATCACTTTCTTTTCAGGTGTGCAAATGTCAACTTTTCCAGAAGAAGTCAGTGTAATAGATGTGGCGCAGGTAAAAAGGGGAAAAAAAGACTGATACCAATTTCAGATCTAGATCTAGACTAACACTATTCTCTCGTCTAATATGAGATATGTTTGAATGTGTGTTGGCAGTTGTAGTACTGTTTCGATGTGGAATTCATTAGGAACGTATATATATTTAAGTGTAATAATATTATCAAATGATGAAGTTAAATCAGTAACATTGATCTCAATATTCTGTAATTTATTTGGATAGACTTCAGGTATAAGTTCAGTCTTATGATTTTGTGTATTTTGTATTTATTGAACAAGATGCACAATTTGATAAATTTACAATAATCTAGATGGCAACTTTTGTGGTGACAGGATTGCATGATAATGATTACAGTGTCAATTAATGTGTTTGGGCCTGGTTTGAAATAAATATATCACATAATTAATGTTTACGCCCCTGGCATTTTGCTGTGGGGGACATAATAGGAGGCATGGTAGTCTTGTGGTAGGACGCCGGGCTCGTGACCGAAGGGTTGCGGGTTCGAGTCACGGCACAGCACTGTGTTGTATCTTTGAGCAAGATTCTTTACTCGGCTTGTTCCAGTCTACTCAGCTTTAAATGAGTATGTGATTGGGCAGTGCTAGAATTATTGAATGCTAGCTGTTAACACCGAAATGGCAGCTCCAGCAAATTACATAACAAAAAGTTCATTTATTATTACATAACATACTTTTAGATTAAATAGCACACTCTTTTTTAGAACGGAAGGATGGTACGGTTTTCAAGAAAGGTGGAACAGAAATAGGAAAGAATTTAGCAGAGAAGAGTAAAGGCCTTTTTAGTGCTGATGATTGGCAGTGTAAAAGGTTGGTGGTAATTCCTACAAACAGCCAAATAACTGAAGCTGTTTAATGAAAACAATAATTTGCAGTTTACAAAGTAATATTTTCGGTTTTGTTTGGTAAAGTGAACTTTATTACACTATGGTATGATGAATTTTACTTTAAAAATCTATTTTCAGAAAATCTGAAAGAAAAACAAAATCACAATCACACACATTCAGTGTCTGAAAGAGATTACAACTGTCCATATGCCTATATTGATGAAATATATTATTTTTTGGGCATTGTCTGTCATTCTGATCATATTCATGAGCCTTTGGACATTTTATTTTCAGTTGTGGCAATGTGAACTGGGCACGAAGAATGACTTGCAATGTGTGTAATACGCCCAAATACGGAAAACAGGAACAAAGAACAGGTACACCAACATACTTTGTTTATATTTCACATATTTATTCTTACCTAAGTCTTCAATCTTGAATTCAAGTATCACTATATAGCTAGAACAGTTACTGTTCATCAGACATTCATGTGGAGTGGAGAATTATGAAAGGCTATGCAAATAAATTCAGATAGGTCAGTCAGCACTATTAAATGTGAACAAAATATCTGTTATTCACTGTATTACAAAATACAAGTAAGTTACTGTTATACAAAATACACGGTGTAAGTAATTAACTGTACTATTTGGTAGAACTTTATATACAGGCATATGAACAAAATAAACAGAACATTATTCAAATTAAATATAGCTAGTTATTGTTTTGAGGGCGGGAAAGGAAAAGAATGCATGGTTAAGATAAATTGATGTGATCGTATGTGTTTTGTAGGTTTTGGAGGTGGCTACATGGAAAGAGATGAAGTTGTTGAATATATTAAAAGAGAGGGTGACAATGAGGATGATGAATTTGATGATGTGAGTTTCTTTTACTTTCGTATTTAAAACAGAACTAGTTTATTAGTACTATTTTCTATATGTAACTTGTACAAGTACATCACAGTATATACCTGCATTATTATCTCAAGTAGGTTATCTACTCCCTGTCAAATATCAGCTATCTGTTTGAGGTTAAGCCTTTGTAAATCTTCTGAAATTTAATTTTTGATTTTTTGAAAAATTGGTTTATACATTTTATAGAATACAAAATCAGACAACAAACACACAAGACTGATGGCTAGGCATTTCTGCCTGAAACAGTCCAGGAAGACTGAAAGGCCTGGCAGTCAGTCTTTCTTCACATGGACTTGTTAGTTTAGTATCTACTATATATATGATAAGGTATCACCAACAGAACTGTAGTCTAGGTCACACTGTAACAGCTAAGGAATATGAGGGGAAAATACTGCTTTACTGGCAAGCTAGCTTTTGCAGTGATGCAGTATAACATGGGGACCCGCTCACTAGTTCAGCAACGTCGAGCGTGGTCAGTAGTTGGATGGGCGACAGCCTGCACGTTACATTTGGTGGTAGCGTAGTGACCATGTAAGGCCTGTTCCCGGTGGTTAGGGAACGTGCATCGATACGCACAGAGAACCTACGGCATTCCCCTGGCCGAGTCTCTTGGAGGGGGAAATAGTGTAACAGCTAAGGAATATGAGGTGAGGGGAAAATACTGCCTTACTGGCACGCTAGCTTTTGCAGTGATGCAGTATACCCGGGGACCCGCTCACTAGTTCCCAAACGTTGAGCGTAGTTTTACAATGCTGTTATTACATTTCCCTGTATTCTATTTCCTGAGTTTTCATTTTGCAAGTTAAGTTCAAGGTCACACATAGGGGGGTCAAAAGTGTAAATATAGTGCTGCAAGATGGTCATATCTCCTGTTACTTATAGGCCACCAGTAATATATAATGTGTTGATTGTAGGCATAACCAAGATCTTTTTATATCTAGTATATACACAATGAATCTTTCGGGCTTCTTGTAATAAATAGTTTGTTGATCATAGGGATAGTACACATCATTTGCCATTGTAATTAGTGACTTTTCTCTGTGATTTGTTGTTATTGTCTTCACTGTATTTTTATGACAGTTTGGTCGTAGAAAGAAAAAGTTCAGAAAAAACAGTTCTGATGCCGTAACTCCACAGAACAATAAGGTGGAATCAAAGGAGGAAGCAGATGAAGAAGAGGAGGAAGAAGAAGAGGAGGACGGAGATATTTCAAACTACAAGATTGATTCAGAGGAGGTAATTAACTCATTTACCCCTGACATATCTTGATGAACTATTCCAACCTTTGTCTTTGAATTGAAAGAGCTCAAATGTGTCTTCAGGGGTGAATGGTTTAAAAGTATCTATTAAATTCAATTCTGAAAAAAGGGATATGAATGTAACTTTTGTTGGCAATATTCAACTTATTAGCATTCCCATGGTAATGTCCTTGAACACTTTATTTCAATGGTAAAAAAAAAAGTTCTGGCAGAAGTAAACAGAGAAAAGAGTTAAGGCCAAGACTGTCATATAATTATATAAATATGATGGGCCCAAATGGGGAAATTTGGTAAATCTTTAAAATACTATATCTTCAGTATGGGTGGTTATGAGATTTTATCTAAATATGGTCTGGAACATCCTTGGGCCAAGGGACTTCAACACAGCATCTTTCCTCAAAATCATCTTCTACCTGAAGAGTTGTATAGATTGTTACAATTTCGTTTGAATTATCTTTAAGAGTAAAAATATATATTGTATGAATTAATTTGGTGTGTCACCTGAGTTTAATAAGTAATTGCTAGGTAGGTGGTTGCATAGGTATGTATGACTGCATGGATGGGTTGTTGTTTTTTCTAGGAAGAAGAGGAGGAAGGGGATTTAAGTAAATATGACTTGAACGAAAGTGAAGAAGAGGATGACAAGAGATCAAATTCGTCTTCTAGTTCTTCTTCAAGATCTAGCTCCTCCTCCTCAAGATCCTCCTCCTCCTCTCGCTCTAGTTCGTCCTCAAGGAACCGAAGGAAGAGAAGCAATAGGTCTAGGTCCAGGTAACTTGGTGGAAAGGGTAAAGGGTAGAGGTCAAAAGGTCAATATCACTATTGAATCTTTACTTTTCTTTGACATCTTAGTTGCTGTTTTTGATGTTGTTAAATCTTACTCTTTCCAGACACATATACAGCATAACATGAAAAGTTGTAATTTTAATTAAGGCATTATGCTACCTTTTTTTGAAATACACTATTCATAAACTTCCACACTAAATAAGGAAATTTTAGATGGACTTATCTATGAACACATTTGCAAGTTACACAAGGAAGAATCTGAATAATTCTAAAATACTAATGGGAGATAACTCTTTAACACATAATCATAGTGATAATGGATAAGGTAGCTCATAACAATAAGAAAGCTACACACCCGTAATTATATTGAATAAAAATCTGTAATATTCGTTGTTTGCATATCAAAGTATTATAGCATAGAATTGAAGCTCTACCGATAGTTTTGTGTACAAGATGATAAGCGCAATTCCTGAATTTCAGAAAAATCTGTGATCAAGTTAATAGTTCTGTACCGTTATACCTGTTGTAGATCTAAGTCTCCAAAATCAAAGAAGCTCAAAGAACGGTCAAGGTCGCCAAGAGACAGGACGACAGGATCCGGGAGGTCGAGGTTTGGTGATAAAGGGGATAATTCTACTATGATGTAGTGGTCTTATTTCTGAATTAATGCTGTATTGATGATATTTGATAATCTAAATGATTTTAATGACAACTTCAGGAGATATTGAAAATGTTTCTTATGATGTGTCCTTTTTCAAATGAGAGAGTAAAAATGTAGCTTAAAGAAAAATTGTGTTTCAGGTCACGTTCTTCCGAGGACCGTCGACGTGACACCAGTAGATCCAGGTCCTCCTCTCATTCAGCTGGCAGCACCAGGGATGGATCAAGGCGGTCGAGGTTTGGCGTTAGGCACAAATATTTGGATTCCAGTCTAACTTTAACATAGGAGCAAGATATCTATTGAATTAGAATGTGACCAAACATACAATATCATTTATCGGTGGAGAAACCAGCTCCCTTTACACATCAGAAGTTAGCTGCGGGAGTCTTGATTTTACAGTTTATCACAATCGTGGAAATTCAAGATATATCAAAAGTGATTTTTAAGAAAGTCACAAATCAGTTAAAATAAAACTTGGTTTGATCTTCATTAACACCAGACTTCTGTAATATTTAACATGATCGATGAAAACTCTTTTTTGTCTACCCTGGTTTTCCAGACACAATATCATATATCTGACCTGAAGGTCAAGTTTACGTTGATGTCAAAAAGCTCAGGTTTTGCTATACAATCATCCCGTGTTAGTAGGTCAACAAGTGTAGTTAGATTATGACTAGTATTCAACAAATATTTCCTGTGGATAATTATGTCTTTTAATCTCGAAGCTATCAAACTAATCATAAACACCCAGAATTAATACTTTTCTATACAAAATTAACTGAAATTATTGTTTCCAAAGACAGCAAGCCTTGTTAAAGATATTTAATTTGATCTTTTATGATACATCTTGAAATAATAAAATATTTTCAGTTAATGAAATTTTTAAATGGGGATGATTTTTAAGCTTGTGTATATTTGAGTTATAAATTTGGTAATATATAAAAAGAGAGGTGAAATCCGAAGAATTTTATATACACTGCACTGTCAGAGGCTGCAGTGTTGAATTCTTTAATATCATATTTATCTGCAAATAAGCCTGTTCTAGCAAATAAGCCCCATCCTGTTTCAAGCAGCATGTTGATTTGTAAAATAACTAAGATTATATCCACCCATTTGCCTCCTTATTCAGACCCAAATGTTCTCACTAGGAGCCGGGGCATTATTTGAGGATAGTATTTTCACATGTTCTGACTAATCGTTTTACATTTTCAGGAACTGAACCTGCGGAGATGACGACATCTACCAACAGTATCCCCTGATTGACTCGCTGCTGCTGCTGAGGACCTTGTATAGAAAGCTTAAAGATTAACCAGACCACTCTCATCTGCAGTCAACTGCCTCCCTAATTGGATTGAAAATTTAGTAGAAAATTGAAATTAGATCAATTGTTACATTAATTTTCATCATTGTTTATAAAGATAAAATATTGATTTTTTTTTCTAAATGGATCATGGAAGGAATACATTCAAAAGCAATAATCTGCACATTCAGAAAAAGGATTTTGGTATAGGTAATATTTTAATATATTGTTGACTGTTGTTGGCAGACACCTTGGTTTCTATGTATGGTGGGATTCCGTCTGTATAGGCTCAAAATGTCTGCGTACTTTGGAATTTTATCAGACTGGTTTCTACTGTTTTTTGCACACAGTGGATCCTCTAAGTCTTGACAGTTTGCCTTCTTTTTATGGTTTCTATGTAGTATAGCCTAGTTTAATCCAGACATTATTGTTTCTGTGTACAAGTGGATCCTTCTTAGTCAAGCCATTGCCATCCTCGTCACTCCAGGGGTTACACTCACTTTCGCTCTCTGTACCCCCGGAATATGTCATAGCAAAATTGAAAGCACACAGCTAGCTATTACAGTGGTCTCGGATAAAACAATCTGACCAATCGTTAGGCTGATACCTGTCCTTTGAAGATTACAGAGGAATGACACTCGACTTCAAAGCCAGTCAATTTTACCGTTATGCAGCCGCGAGTTTCTTTGGTGTACATTAAAGGATCAACCTAATCTTCTTGTCTCATCCACAAGGTGACGCTCACTGAGCCTTCAATTTTGCTACGATATATTCCAGGGGTGCATAGAGCGGGAGTCAGAGCGACCCCTGGAGAATAATGAGGATGAGCCATTACTTTCTCTGGATATTGGGGCCTCTTTACTGTGACCATTTCTTGCTGTATACAATAGAGCCTTGTTGGTCGAGATTCTAGGTTCTGTGGACAGGTTGGGAGGGGTACTCGCCTCTGATAATGTGGGTGGTGTGGGGTCTTTTTACCAAACAAGTTTCAGCAAAGTTCATAAGTCAGATGAAAAGTTAACAAGTATGAGATTCTATTTATCATGTACATTGTTGAGCACATGATAAATAGAATCTCATACTTGCTAACTTTTCATCTGACTTATGAACTTTGCTGAAACTTGTTTGGTAAAAATCACAAGCAAAAGGAACCTGTTAAGATACCCTCTATAAATTCAGGCCCTATATAGATCTTCAGGTCCATTTTCACAGTAGAAGTTAACTTGGTTGACATATTTTCATACAGATCATCAAAAGTAGGAAAACCTTTTTCATCTCAAGAAAATTATTCAGATATATATATTTGATTTTGCATAATAGTATACCAGAGAAATGCATATACCTATACACGACATGAGCTATATAACACATATATAAGAAATTAAGAATCTAATTGAAATCATCATATCTCATCTTAATTTAATATATTGTTTAGCCATGCAAGACTTGCCCTGTAATTCTTATTATAAAGCAATGAAATTTAAATGGTTTAAAGAATGTTGAATAATAATAACTATAATAAAATTGATCCCATAGACCATGTATTTAATAAACCCTGTTAACTTTTTGTCCATTAAGTTTAGGTAAGAATTTCTGTTATTTATGCTTCAATGAAAAATAGATAAGTTTGAATTCCCTGAAGGAACAAGTATGGAGCTTGGACGCACTTTAATTGTATCATGTTTTTTATTTAGCTTTAACATCTCAGTTATTTCACAATGCCTGATGTACAAATAATTCCCTGTGTATCAGTGCGCAAATCTGGAGTTCTCACAATTACTGTGTATTCATTATATAGACACAAGCATATTGGAAAACCAAGGAACAACACTGGATTCGTTACTGACTAGCTGCTAACACACACACACACACACCCTCCCTCCCCCTCCCCAAATGGCTTCAGATAAGTTATACTGTAGAAAGAAATTTAATTTATAAATTCAAAATGCTGTAAATCAACTACAAATTACTCTAAATTTGACCAGGAGATTTTGTGGGGGGTTTTGCAGAAATTCCTTCCTTTTTTTTATTTTTTTTTATTACAGCTGTCGTGTACTTAGACTGAATTTTAGGTGACTTGCTTCAAAACCATACATGGATGTTAGTTGGTTTGAAGAACATGTGTTAAAGATTAATGTTAAATTTTCTGTTTTTACATTTTCATAGTAGTATGAATTAACTCATGTTAGTTAAAACCTTGTGTAATCATTTACATCATATTACACCCAAACAGAGACGTATAATACATTGTATTATGTGCCTTTGTTCCAGAACACAAATAATATTTTAGTAAAACAATATAATTCACTAGTTAAATAGCATGAGAGGTATCTGGAGTGTGACTGTATCTTATTATGGAACATTAACTAATTCACCCCTGACGACTCATTATAACTCTTCCAATTCAAAGGTGGGAATAGTTCATTATGAAATTTCAGGGTTGAATGAGCTAAAAGAGGTTGTTGATGTATGCTATGTGTATATGATACATAATATATGTACAATGTATGTAGTCGGGTTGTCTACGGTCTGGTAATCAACATTTCTCCCATTAGCTGCAAACATGAAATATATTTTTATCATTGACATCCTTTGAGGTACATTTCATTTTTATTTTTTTTTGACTTACATTATATAACAAAAGGTGAGGAAGATGTAGCATGTTGAAGCTAGTATGTGGTGAGTGGTAACAAAATAAACAGAAATTTCACATGAAATCAAGCCATTAAGGATCCCTGTCCCGCTGTACTGTGTTTATTTTCTCGTATATACAGTAACCTCCGTTTAACTTCAGTTTGGATATAACTGTAGCACAGTTGGGTCAGGACACTTCTGTTGACCAGGTAGCTCAATCGGTAAATCATAAAAGTCTGCAAGGTGTGGTTTTCTTTTCATAAATGATTTATCAAAGCTACAGTTATGCTGGAAAAACAGTTTCCAACACTTAGTTACAGTTTTTGACAGTGGTACAGGGATCTTTAATGAAAATCTTAATCAATCCTGCAACCTGTTGTAATCGTGACCATTTGCCAATTTTTAATGATGTCGGATAAGATGGAGCATAGCAGTTTCTTAATATAGTCATTTAATATCAATTATGTTAAATTTTAGTAGTAACAGGATTTTAGAAGAAAAATCTGAATTGATTTTTTTAAAAACTTAAATGATCCATTCTGATTTTCAACCAACAATGTTTAAACCTTTTTTTTTCACGGTAAGTATAAAAAAAAATGTTGCATGGTAATATTTATACCTCATTTGTTTACACTAGCTGATATACAACACAAGTGAATGAAATGTTTTAGTATAAATTGTGGTTTTTGTGCTTCTTTGTTCCAGTTCTTCTGTTAGCATCAATAGTACATAAACATTTAATGTTTGAGGAGAAGTATTGAGTTTGTTGTTTGTGATAAGGAAATTGAACAGCTTTGGAAAAATGTCAGTATGCCTCCTTTTAATAGAAACAAAGTAATTAATCTTTTCCAGAAGTTTTCTATACAAAGGGAAACCTTTCAAGTATTAATTCAATCGGAGGATTACAAAATCACATTTAACAAACAAGTGAACGGTACGATGTTTACACTATTACATATTTATCACATAATCGGCCTGTTATTCAGTGAATTTGCCCGTGTAATATACCCCGAAACGTTTTTCATTGGCTGTGCCAGTCAGAAATCAAATTGTGACCTCATTAATTGTGAATGTCGCAACAAGATGGCTGTCTCCATTTGATTTAACACTCTACATAAGTTTTCAGAGTTATGTGATGAAAAGTATCATAAATTTGTTTTCATATAATATGAGCTTTTATGAATCTCGACTCGAAGTTTTAATTCTTGCTCGCCAGGGCTAGGAAAACTAACAAGAGGCCCAGAGGGGCTGTATCGCTCGCCTGAATATTTAAGCAGTCGTAGCAAAATATTCTCATTAAATATTATATTGCGCTACAAATATTTCCCTCGCAAATTTTGTCGGCTCCATCTGTTGAAACTACCAGCCAAATATTATTATAAGATTCTATGTTTTTTGGTTCTTCTTCAGAAGTTGTTTGACATATTTTCCCCTGTGACCTTGTAAGTAGGTCAATGTCATTTTCCTTCTCGAACTTTGTTAGCTCTATCCTAAATAGCTACCAGCCAAATCTTATGAATCCTTTCCTTTTGGTTCTTCAGATCAAAACCTTTGAAATGTTGTTGACCTCTGTGACCTTTTAAGTAGATTGAGGTCATTTGCAAACTGTGGTGAGCTGTATCCCAGGAAGCCATCAGCCAAATATAATTTTATGCCTTTCGATTATTCAGAAGAAGTTGTTTGATGTTTTTGACATATTTGACACCTGTGACCTTGAAAGTAGGTCAAGGTCATTTTCATTCTCAAACTTTTGTCAGTCTTCATCCCAGGTAGCAATCAGCCAAATATGAAGATTCTATACCTTTTAGTTCTTCAGAGGTTATTTGACGCCAGTGACCTTGAAAGTATGTCGGTCGTTTTCATTCTCAAACTTTGTCGGGCTCTATCCCAGGAAGCCACCAGCCAAATATGAAGATTCTATACCTTTCAATTCTTCAGAAGAAGTTGTTTGAAGTGTTTGATACATATGACCCCTGTGACCTTAAAAGTACGTCAAGGTCATTTTCGTTCTCAAACTTTGTCGGGCCCCATCTCTGGAAGCCATCAGTTAAATATGAAGATTCTATACCTAATAGTTCTTCAGGAGAAGTCGTTTGAAGCGTTTTACATATTTGACCTCTGTGGCCTTGAAAGTAGGTCAGTCATTTTCATTCTAAAACTTTGTTGGGCTCTATCCTAGGAAGCCACCTGCCAAATATGAAGACTCTATACCTTTAAGTTCTTCAGAAGAAGTTTTTTGAAGTGTTTGACCCATGACCTTGAAAGTAGGTCAAGGTCATTTTCGTTCTCAAACTTTGTCGGGCTCCTACCAACGAAGCTTTCTGTCAAATATCATGGATCTATGCCTGTTCGTTCTTCAGAAGAAGTTGTTTAAAGAAAAAGTTGACGGACGAAGGACGCCGCACCATGACATAAGCTCCCTTGCCCTTCGGGCTGTTTAGCTAAAAAAAAAAGGCTCGTTTCATAAAAGGTCATATGAAATGAAAACTCATATAAGATCCTATATATAACATACAGTACAAAATACAGGAAATGCATGAACATTGCACTGGTCATTCACAGCATGCATTTAATCAGTATCTGGTAGTATGCCTATTATAATATCTACAAATCATTTGTGTCTCTCTTGACTCTTGCCAAGAGGCCTAGAAAAATATTTGACCAGTAGCAATTTTGTTGCACTTAAGTCAGGTATGAACTTTGTTGATCAAATTTTGTTAAGCAAATTAATGCCAAATATGAAAACCTATGGCCTTTTTTTAAGTTTCAACATATTTAACCTTAAGAATAAATCAAGGTCAAACTACAATTACAGACCAAATTATCTATATTTTAGACCTTGTGGGTCTGTTTAAAGCTAATAAGATTTTAACATATTTTTACACACAAAAAATGTGATCATGAGAGTGGATCTAGGTAATTTATTTTGGCACAGTGAAGCTACAAGATAATCGGTGTTGAAAGTTGGTCATTAATCAATACAAACTTGATAGCCCTGAAGTTCACCCCAGCATGCTACTGGTCAAATATCACCCCATGCCTAGCTAGCTCTTGAATATTCACAAAAATGTTGCTTGTTAAAAAGATTTTAATAAATTTGACACGTGATGTTGACCTTGAAAGTCCTTCAAGGTCGCATATTTGTGCAAACTTGATAGCCCACCATACTAAATGGACTGGCTATATATTGCCCTACAGTCCTCTCAAGATTATTCAGAAGAATATATATAAAGTCCTTTGATAAATTTGACCTTAAAAGTGGGTCAATGTCATTCATTTTAGCAAACTGGCCCTTAAACCTTTCATGTCTTGCCTCTAGCCAAGTAGCGTCACCCTAGGCCTCTTAGTTATTAGAAGTCCTTTAAAACAATGGAAGCTACACTATATGTGCCAGGTGAGATAACAGCAAAATATTTACATTAAAAGTATCATTTCAAAGTATTCCCTTTTATATGCTCAATGCCCTCCCTAATGGAACATTTGTTTGGTAAACCATTCAAAGTCATGACTCCAGGACCTTAGCCGGACCATGTTGGAGTGAGCGAGTCTGAACAGTCGCGCTGCTAGTCTTGTCATGCCAAATAAGTATAAGCAGGTACATGTATATATGTTTTTTAGATCCTTTCAACAAAATATGGTCTATATAATCACGCATCTTCTGGAAGAGAAACTATTTTATAAATTATGACCTCCGGAATTAATAAAGTCCTTCTCCCCAGTTTTCAAGCTGTCCACCACTCCTTCAGACCAATGGTGAGCTAAAAGAGTTCGAAAATTGAGAAAATTTACAAAATGCCCTTCAGAATGTGCAAGACATTGAAATGTGTCTTCTTTTTTTTTACAAAATCAAGCAATCAAATACACTTGAATTGCAGCAAAAAGTACTATAAAAATAAAATGATTATTACAATTTTATATTTTTTATCGAGTGCCATGATGTTTACACTCGCACAGAACTATAGTGATCATAAAGTAAAAACTAAGGTGATCATAAAGTCAATAAATAGCCTAAACATATCAAGTACACTAACTGGAGATATTATGGTATGTTCCTGTTAATCTGTTTCCACAGAGACTTTTTCCTGTTTAGCAATCTGACGGAGTCCTTTGTGCTTCTCTCCATCAGTTCTGCTTCTCCTTTGTCAAAGAACCTCAGCTTAGCCTCTTGTTTAACAGGCAATTCATGGCCAAAGATCCCCTGTGTGACGGGTCCTTTATCATCCCCAGTTGTCGCTGTGTTTGATCCCAAGTAACCCATCATAATTTGTAGATCATTGTTTGTCATTTCTGTATTAAAAGTTTTGGTTGTAAACGTAGTTGGCTGTGTGATTTGAGGAACATTTTTGACACTTTCTTTATCAATCCCTTTCAGTAAGTGCTCTTGATCCAATTCATCGCATTTGGATTCCTGATCATCATTGGACTTATCGGTAGGCCTTTGCCTACAAATGTTAATTTTCCTGCGTTTAGCTACATGTAAATCCGAAGCTGTCTTTTCTTTTCTTACTTGTTCATCTTTGGAAATTTCTTCAGATGGGAATGTGTGAAGGTTGACAGATTTGAATGTATTTAGATACCCAAGCATCATTTCAGAGTCCTGTATTGTTGAATCTCTGCAGATTCTGCCTGACCCTGTTGTATCTGAATCACTTGTAAGTTCGGTATCATCACTACTGTTCGATTCGCTACTAAAATGACCCCGTTTAGCAGGGTGCTGATGTGCTCTTTGCTCAAATTCGCTGATTCCATCTTTTCTTTGCGGAAATTTATGACATGCTGATGCCTCTTTAGAAATGGTGACTCCCTCTTTTAGCCTGGAGAGTACAATATTATATCCACTGACCGTCTTCTTAAAAGTTCCCTTTAATTTGGAAGACTTCACCTCTTTCATCCTCTTATTTGAATCTGGAAATGATAATTGATATGTGTAGCATTGAAAGCTGTAATACAACGAACAAAGTCCTTCGTTATTGACCCATTTCCAAAGTAATTTGTCTTTCTCCCAAAAAACCAGCTTAAATCTGAAATTCAAAAAAAATGGATAAAACGTTGTATAGATGTTTCTGGTTACCCTTCCTACCCTAAATTTGTGTGCCTACCATTAAGTTTTTTGGCAATTACCCAACAAGTTAAAATTTCTGTCCGATGTGTAGAAATAGATTTCTTCACAAAATTTTAATCTAAAATATTGATAGCTACTTTGACCTACAATGTAGTACCTCCAAGTCAATAGGGACCTTCCAAATGGATATCAGTCATCCAAGTTCAATTTGATCTGGTGTATCATTCAAGAGGTATATATATATTTACAGCAACTGTGACCTTGAGCTTTTCCCCTAGTCGCTCTAAAATCAACAGGCTTTTTCCCTTCCCCTACAGCCATCATTTCACCCGAAATTGACATACAATGTACATGTAACTCTTCCAATATTAGCATCACAAAAATAACTTTCTTGCAAAGTATTAGTCTTTTTATGGCTACTGTGACCTTGACTTTTGACCCACTTAACCCAATCCAACACAAATCTTACACTTTCAAAAGGGCATCATCTACTGTACATCTAGATTTGGTGTAGATCTCGTGTATCTTACAAGTATCTCTAGGCTAAACCCAACATTTTCTCAAAACTTGTCTGTTTCAAGCTACATGTACTATGACCTTGACCTTTGACCTCGTAACCAAACTCATTAGAGATCTTCCAATTCTCAAAAGCTATCATATACTGAACAGGAAAATTTGGTTTACATCCGATACATTGTTCAAGAGATAGTACATGACATATGGCGAAACAAATATGTTCTATCTGCAGCCACTGAGACCTAATATATTTACCCTTGACTTCATGAACCCAAAATCACTAGGCTTAATTCTTCCCCTCATTGGGTCATCATTCACCCAAATTTTACAAATTTTACTTAGGATTAGTTGTTCAAATTTTTCAAATTTCAAACAAAAATTTGAGGGTTGGAGCATAAAAAAATGGCATGAAAGAACATTTGAATCTGATAAATAACAACGGTGGCAGACTTACAGAACTTCTGCGTGGCCGTTTTATCATTATCTGCTAACAAGAGGGACTGCTCAGCTTGTGCTGCCCACTTGTCCACAACATCACTAGCCCATCCAAAACTGGTCACCTCGGGACCAATACTGCTCCCCTTCTTAATGTCAAACTTCCAGGTCTTCAACAATGCCTCATTTCTCTGGAATCAAGCAATACTTTCAAATATCAACACATGTACAAGTGCCCTATACAAGGGGCCCAATATATACTAGACTGGTATAATTCAATTGCTATTTAGTGCTGTTGACCAATGTGACCTTGAAAGTAGGTTAAGGTCATTGATTTACACGAAACTGAAAGCCCTTCATCACAGCATGCTACTGGACAAACATTCAGAAGATGTTATTAAAGCAAAAGTTGACGCTGAAAGACACATGACATGAGTTAATTCACAAGCTTTTCCACTGAGTGCTCGGCAAACAAGTTTTGTAAGATCAGCAACAAGAAATTATGACAGTATTCGTCCACTGATTAAATTCACGGAGACAGTTTTACTTTCAGATCACAATTGACACCTGTTTCAATAGTAAAAATAATTTTATAACAAGATCTTTAAGGGGGGGGGGGGGGGGGGGNTTTTTGTTACGATGTATATATATATTTCCATATTTTTTCAAATCGGTTATGCTAGTTATCATGATATATTTCTAAGTAATGACTCTATACAAAGAATTGATAAAAGTAAATACCTTTACTGATGTTCCTGTGATATTGATCTCACTTAAATCCTGGAAAGCAGACAAGTACTTAAGGACACCAGTACCAGTAATTTCTTGATTATCTGTGGAGGAAAATGGCCAGTGTACAACCTAGAATCAATAGATACTATATATCAAAGCACTTTAATTACAAAGAAACATAACAAGTCATCATAGTCTAAATTTCCAAAAGCTACATTACAAACTGATGACTATACCTGATAAGTTGAGCAGTGCAAGCTTCCTCGGACCTGCCCCCATCACTCTGTAAGGTGTAGTCAACTTCACTAGTCCCTTGTCAGTCAGCTTGTTATGTCTCAGAGACAGACATTTTAACCTGAAATTTGTATACATGTATATACACAACAAGATTATCACTAAACTTGCCAAGGTCCAGTATGATGAAAGTATTGCAAGGTAATCCATTATCCCCCACGGGGAATGAATTCTTTCTTAATTTACTTATCTGTACACCTATCTCAGGATATAGGTCACTGTGACATGCTTCTTGTACTCCACACTCCGCCAGCCAAGACATACTTGCATGTCAAATCTGATTACTACAGGAGAAATACTAAGTATAGAAGATATGCCCCAGACATTTTTTTGAAAAGGATGAGGTGAAAGGTCAAGCATAGGTCACAGTGACCTACATTTTGTACTTTGCACTCCACCATCCCAGGATGTACTGGCACCCAAAATCTGGTTACTACAGCTGGTGAAAAAGCTGAGAAGATATACCCACCCCTGACAATTTATTTCAAAAATTGAGGTGAAAGGTTAAACCATAGGCTGCAGTGACCTAGTTTTTTATTGAGACTCTGCCATGCCGAATCAGGATACTCCAGGTGAAAGAGTCAAGAAAATATGCACCGGACAAACTTGTTCAAAGGATGAGGTCAAAGGTCAAATCATTGGTCACAGTGACCTACTTTTTTAATGACACTCTGTAATCCCAAGATGTACTTGCATATATACCAAATCTGGTTTCTCCAGGTGAAACAGTACAGAAGATATGCCATGGACAATCGTTTTGGACCGACTGAGTGCAAACCTATACATGTAGTCCCCCCAGGAACCAGTTGGGGACTCATTATATGTTATATACACTGTACATCCCTGATGAAGGGAAGCTGACATTGCTCTGATATGATAAAGATCATGGGGGGTAGGTCCAGGGGTCTCAAAACTTCCTCCTCATCCCATTTCTTTCACAACATTTATAAACATCTTTCTTTTTCGCTACAAACATCAAGTCTTATTAAAAGTCTTTTACAATCTCCAACAACTTTATGAGAAACAATCACCAAACCTTAAGTTTGATTTGGATAGTCAGTCCCTAAATTCTTTGCCTCAAATTAAAAGGTACAATGACTTACTACTGAACCATAAACTAAGTTAAAGATATACATGCATTAGCTAAAAATAGGGTTGGACTAATGAACTTACTGCGGGAGATGCTGGCCGATGTGTGGTAATAGCTCATCGTCATCTCCTAGTCCACACTCTGCCAGCTCCAGCTCAGTCAGGTGTCGGAAAATCTGTATATGGTCTTTATAGAGTTCAAGACTTGACCATCTCCCACTCATACTCAACTTAGAAAGGACAACTTCCCCGTAAGCTTGTGTGAACAGTTTAAGTCTTTGCAGACAGTCATGGTACTCATCATCTTGATAATAAAATTTACAACTGGTTTCTGCTGCTCTGAAGATCAGTTCACCAACTATTTCTGGAAAACCCACCAATGATTCCACAAGTTCAAGATGCTGAGAAACATAGTGTATAACGAGTTTCAGCAGTGAGATGGGTGTGGTGACTGCATGTCTAGCTGATTCACTCTCAAACCTCGGATTCCCCAACAACCCACCATAGTTGATACCTGGCATGATCCTCTGAAAGAAAGATATGTAGAGGATTAACATACATGTATCCATGATCATATGACCTTAAGTTAAGTGTTGAGGTCGATGAACCCAAAATAAACAAGAGGCCCAATGGGCCTGCATCGCTCACCTGGTATAAAACTCACACTTGTAACCTTAAAAGTGATCTATAATAAAGCTACAGGCAAAATATCAGTATTTATGATTAAAATTCGTTCAAAAGACCCTGTTAATTTTTTTTAAAACATTTCACCCCTGTGATTGAAAGTCGAACAAAGTCATTATGTTGAACACATTGTATAGCCTTTCATCTCAGGATGCAACTTGCAAAGTATAAACATCCTGGGACCCATGGTTATTCANTCGGTTATTAAGAAGAAGTCGTTTAAAGTAAAATATTGATGCCGGACGACAGACGCCGCACCACGGCACAAGCTCACTTGGCACTTCGTGCCAGGTGAGCTAATAAAAAGTTAAAACTCATTATGACAGGAATCACAGAGCTGCCTAATATATGGTACCCAATTATATGTATGTACTTTAGTACACAGCTTTCTGTTTAAAACATCTCTGCCACTTTTCCATTCAGGTATCAGTATTCTTGATTTGCTGTTTTGTTTTAGGATAAGTACAGGACAAGCCTAGCACAGCCAAAGAGACTAGCAATTTATGAAGACCACAATTGTGCCTCTCAAATTTGTGACACCTTACTCTTTATTATTTGGTTTCATATAAATTAACAAGATTCCAAGAGGACTTAATACAAATGCAGCTCGACTGTTCATCTATTTTTAGTTTAATATGGACAGTAATGATCATAGTATGCAGAATACAATGTATCAAAAGTGTCAATACAACAAATAATTAAATATCAACTGAAAACAGACAAACAAGAGGCCTGAAGGGCCTATATACATAAGCCAAATATCATGATCCTATATGCCTGATTTGGTCATCCATAATAGGCTATTTTTATATTATATGAAATTTGACCCATATGACCTTTAATTTAAAGTGGGTCAAGGTCAACATAGCTCATTTGAATCCATTAGTTGAAATTGCTTCATTTTTTTAGATACAAGTAGATGATACTCACACTCACTGTATCGGAAACACAGATAATTACATAGATTTTAATCGGACATATAATTAGGATTTATTTACTTGAATTTCTTTGTTTAGTTTAGTTTTATTTTGTTAAACATCCTAATAACAGCTTATATATATTAATAGGTCATTTATAAAGGGCGTGCCTCCATGTTGTTGTGACGAATGCATGCTAAATGTGTATCATCATGTGTGCAGGAGACAGACAGAACTTTGTAAAATATAGACAATTAACCCTTTCACCCCTATGTAACTTCAGTAACCTCTTCCATGCATTGATTTGGATGAGTCCATTATGGTCTACAGTGGTTCGGGAATTATTATGGAATTCCTCTATTCTGTCTTTGCGNGTTTTACCTATTTTCCCTATTCGGCCCCGCCCATCTGCCCCAAGGGGTGCCACACCCACCATTTATACAAAATTGAGTCCCCTTGGCCCAAGGATGCTCCAGACCAAATTTAGTCAAAATCTACTTGGCCGTTCAGGACTAGTAGCGTTTTAAAGGAAAAGTTGACGGACGGACGACAGACGCTGCGGTATGGCATAAGCTCACCATGATCTAATATGTCCACCTCATTTTATGTCCCAAAACAACTGTAACAAATTATCAGGTTCCTGCACATTGACTAGCACAGGATTATGATACACGCAAATAAATCAACAATATATTTATATCTGTTATAGGTCTGAGAATTTCCCGAAGTTTGTCAGTTGTCGTTCATACCCAACTAATTCTCAGGTCCCTATGCTACCCAAGTGCTCAATATCCGTCTAGGATACAGACTACTGTTACAGAGTGGCTTTAAATGTAACCAAGAATCGAAACATGGTTCCGAAACAACGTCATAATCTTTAAGAAGAGAGAAGTTCCTGGTATTGTTACCTACAGCTAGCCAACTTTCAGTACTTATTCTCCGATTTTCCTCTTCAAACTTTCGCGCACCTGTGGTAAAATCTAAATTTCGACTCCACCGGAAATTGTTTTCCGCACATGCGCAGCCACACAAAATACTTTTGACAGCTGAGAAACAGAAGCAGAATGTTTGATGTTGCTCTGAGAAGTGCTGGGGCTGCTGTCGTTCTGGCAACATCTAGTGATGATAACCATCCACCAGAGAATATGATAGACGGGTAATCTTCTACTTTATATCACAGCGAAAATGCTTTGAAAATGAGTCGCGTTTGTACGTGTGTGTGCATGCGGGAGGGGGGGTCTGTACTTCGTTACATTTCATTTTAATGTGATAATTCTCTCAAGTACAAAAACAATCTAAATTCCTGAATCTTGTATTGGATGTGAATCATACATGTATATGACAATATTTGCCTTATTTCTCCCATACTAGTAACAAGAAAAAGTGAAGGCAGACCACTGATTTCTCTGATATTCCTTAGGCTATAAGTTACATGTTTCCTTGACTTTTAAAGTAATATTGCTTTTCCATTAGGGAAATATAACTTATAAATGAAAAAAGAGAATGAAATCAGGTGGCACCAATGTTCAATCCATCATATTTCATAGAATATCAATGAGTCATGGTGATGGAATATATTGATGGTCTTGGAGTTGATAAACATGGACAATGTGGCAGAAACTTATATTTAATACTGGACCATATCTTCCTGGAAACTTCAGATTCAATCATCAGTACATTTGTACTGAGCAAGATTTCAGACAAATAATTAAGTTATCCAAAATTTAAGTTATTATATTTCACTATTGTTGTTTCATATATAATGTTATAAGCCACTTTCATAGTGTAGTACATGTTTTTCCTTACAGAGACAGTCAAACATTCTGGACTTCCACTGGAATATTTCCACAGGAATTCATCATAACATTCACATCAGTAGTCAACATCGCGAGGATTGAATTATGTTGTTCGAATGGTAAGACAAGTGTCATTGTTCATGTTATAAGCTTAGTGTAAGAAAATACACTAACTGGACACTAAACATATAGAAAGTACATGTCCTTCTGTTTACTAATAAATGATTCATTACATTAAACTGAAGATAGAATTCTGGATATAATAATATCACACGTACGTCTTGCCAATTTACCAGCTACTCTCCCTATTTTGGAGGAAGACTCTTCAATTCCCTTACATTTAACATTTCCAACCAGTGAAAAAGCTAAACTTTTCATACTCTAGGATCTTATTATTTCATCTGAAAGAATAACTCAAAATATGTCATTTTAAAGTGTTATTTTTCTCTAAGGGATATATATACAAATATTTTAAATTTATGTTTGTATTTTTGAGCATGAGAAATCACCCCCAGGAAAATTTCAAATGGTTTTCAAGCATGGTCACTGTGTTATGCACTGAATACAAATCAACATTTTTTTGTCTTACATATATCTCAGATATAATATCCCTTTCACTGTTATGTGAGAATTAAGGCATTTTGACAGTATTGAAGAGTTAACGATGGTGAGAAGAACAAAAAATCCACAGATACACAGTACATGCATACATTCTGGTAATGACAAAAAGCGTCTTGATGCAATTCCTTTTTGTGTTAGAGTTAAAGAGATTTACAGAATCTTATTAAATATTTTTGGAGTATATTGGAATGCATATATGCACATTTAACAAGCAAAGGAAATATATCAAAAAGTTTTCTTTTCAGTGAAAGATGTTGTTTTTGAAAAGTGCAAAGACTCTGATCCAATAAAGTTTGAGAAGATAACAGAAAGAGGTAAGTCCTATACTGGCATGTGTACACTCAAGACTGCTGTTGTTACTGAATACCTTCGGTGTTCTCCTATAACATAAGAGGCTGCTGGTATAATGCGGATATGATTTTGACGACTGTGACGCCTGTCAAAAGTATTTCGCCATGTAAACCTCTAACAGTTTGATTAACCTCCCGGTCCAGATAAATTTGATTTTGTAACAAAACTTGGTGACTTCTTATTAAAGCTTTCTACACCCTGATTACATATATATATATAAGTGTATACTTGCTGTGTAAGACTTTTGATATAAAGTTTTTGTAAATAAATGTACATAATTATTTTTTCCAAATACGTTGAAAAGTTTGATAGTTTTACAGTTGTTACCCACACAAATGTTGTCAAATTTGTTCACCTCCACTGGACTTTACTACATGTATTAGAATGACACATATGAAACATTTATATTAATTTATGTCTGATCTAAATTAAGTGTTATAAATATCTTGACAACATGATAAGCGATACCAGATACCAAGTTTCGAATGATGGGGATATCTTTTCATGTTCTCATGTTCTGTGTTGTTGGATATAAGCTTTCCACTTTTGTCATATGATCAGTAATGAAAATTGCAGTTATCTCTTCAGTTTCAAGTGATCGTGGTCCTAAGTTGAATGAGGCATGTTTAATGAGTGTATGAATGAGTTTTAACTAGTTCTGAGATGCTATTATTCACATAATTTGAATAATGATAATGATGAGCATTTACCAGCTAACAAGGTTTGTGTGTTTGTACTGTTTACTGTACTGATGAGAAGAGATGATAAAATACTTCTATGGTCGGACTAGTGAATTCTATTTAAAAAATCCATCAACTAGGATAGGCTAAACTTTGCTGATCTTTGTTGACATGACATTGGATCTCCACCCCTACCCTGTATGTTTAGTGTACTAGTTTTGCTTGTTTAACTTTTACAGAATTGACACATGGTGATGGCCAGCTACAGAATGAAGACATATCGGTGAACGGAGTGGAGGCTCAGCACCTAAGAGTCGTGATAGAATCGGCGCATGACCATTTCATATCTATACACAGACTCCATGTTCATGGGAACGCTGTTCGCGGATAAATCTATGATACAATTTGTATTTTTGTTTATAATTGTGAATCATCCTAACTTATTACTATTTCGTGTGGCGAAGGAGGGCTGTAATAGAGATAAAGGCTTAGTCCATTTTTAACAACTCAAATGTACAGGAAAAATCGTCTACATTGGAGAAATACAAGTCATCTTAGACAACCTGGAGATGTAGGTTGCTGTCATTGACCAGCAGTTAGATGAATGATTTAACCCTGTCACCCCTATGTAACTTTGATAAAATCTACCATGAATTGATCTGGATGAGTCCATTATGGTCCACAGTGGTGAAAGTGACTGATTTGCTGATCTGCTGATCATCCATGTCTGTAGACAGAGTTGCCCTGTTCCTGGTCACAGATGGTATAGTACTGTTCGGTCAATCTCATTGATGACTATTGATAATCCGTCCACTTGTTTATATGTATCTGATATGTCTGAGGAACGCGTTTTCTCAAGCACTAGTTTTATAATCTGTTTCAACATTCCATCAAATATATCTGAAATAACAAAACATATCATTGTAAAAACAGTTTGAAACATTTTTCAAATAAATGTTTTTATATTTTCCCTATGGTTTTGATTTTTTTTTATCTGTCTGTTTCATCTTTACATGTGTGTCCTGAATTCTGTAACAGATACAAATAAGAAACATTTAGATGACATACATACCTCTTACATCTATACTTACACCTATACTTGCGTGCATACATACATCATCATACATACATATGACCCTATTTATTCAATGTTACTTCAAATAATCTATGAAACCATATCATTATAACAATACACAACATGTTAGATTTATTAACCTTTACACAATATATATTTACACTTATAAATCTTGGATCAATACAGTCTAAGGGGAGATAATATACCCTCAGCATTACATTTAGCATTAACTTGGAATGATACTCAAAATACAAACTTCACAATAATATATAGATATATGTGTACCTGGCTATGGGCCGAATTCCTCGACTCTTCCAATTGTAATCAATATTCAGTCGACCCAGGGTCCTATGCATAAATAAAATACTACATGTTACAATGGTTCTAATTACTCTTAAAGCATCTTCACCAAAATAAAACCAATATATGTACCAAGATATCTTATCAATCTCAGTTACTGCAGGAATACAATAAATGCATGAAAATGGTTTTATGTTCAGGCCCCTATGAATTTTACAACAGATTTGCATTACTTTAAATTCGACTTTTATTCTTCCAACATTTTGTCAGACTCAAGTACATTCAAAAGGTAGCAATTACATATTTTACAACATTATACAAACTACATGTTAATAGAGAAGAACAAATAGAAACTTACAGGAGTATGAAGCCATGTCCAGCTTCAGCAAAAAGTAGTAGAATAGTAAATCACACAAAGAAATATCTTTCTTACAGACAAAAAGTGGAGGGAAAATGAGGACCAATAAAAACATGTTTAGTTCAATATCTCAACCGATGGTATCATCATCTTATGTCAGGTGATCAATTAGAAGGTTCCACTTATAGAAGTATATGCTTACCTGTAATATACCTATACAGGTAAAGTGGGCTCACCACCACTCACACACGCTCACCTTTCAGATCACTCTAGCTACAGGTAAATACACACACAATGACATATACATGGACAATACTTGGATAACACATCGTGCTTGGTGAAAGGTAAAATGATGTGCTGATGATGATGCTAATTGATGCTAATAAAATAATACAACACTTAGGATTAAAACTTACTATATACACTCTTTAAGATTTTAACCCTGCCACAACAATATAATATTAAAATATCTTTTTAAAAATCCATGGATTAATACCTTTTGTGAAGAAGTTCCTTTGCTGGACAAGAGTGTGTGTGAATCATTCTTCTGTTCCAACTATAAACTGTAAACATACATATTTTAAATATGTATGTTTACAGAATCCATGTAGCTATTGTTTATTCACGAAGATTGACCAAATTTCGTTTCTTTTCGTGAGACCGATTGAAATTCGTGAGAAATGTGTCTCACACAGTGAGGATTTTTTCTGAAGCAGTTTTCGTGAGTCTCACGCCGAAATCGTTAAATGTGGCATGTATGATATTTCTGCAGTTATCTTATTTTATTGCATTTAGCCCTTCAAGTACTGACGGGGGGCAACTATAATTTAGTACAGTAGTCACTGACTACTGTGCTAAATTATAGTTGCACAAATTGAAAGGTATATATGTTTGACTTTCCTATTGCATGTATTAACTGTGGGTGTGTAAATTCAAAATACACTAATCTGTGTTAAAATTTGACAATATGCATGCTAAAAAAATTGAGTGCTCAAAAATGAGTACCTATGTATTTTCACACAGGGACGACATGAAAATGAATTATAATTAAGGATGCATGTTACTTAACATGGTTTTTCCAAAAGAGTTTGACAATGAGAAACGTATTAATCTACCTTATATAAGTAAAAAAGGAGAATTCATGCAGTTATATTTCTCAATTTGAACATTGTTACCTTTTAAGGGAAATTACCTTTAAAGGGAGATAACTCAAAACAAAATAATGCCATTGTACTGTACAGTAGCATATATATCAATGTGTAGCAGATTCTGAATCCCATATCAAGTACATTAGATATATGGTGACGGAAAATTTCTACTGATGTGTATAATTTAGAAAAGTAGGGAGTCCTGATGCGGTGGTACGTCACCTTCAAGTTCAGGTAAAGGAATTTGAATCTGATTTAATTAGTACTACATCCCTGTAATAAAGGGATTCAATGTTATATAAACAAGAAGACGCTGTCATTGTTCCCCCTTGTGTGCAGTGCAAAATTCATTAAAAATAGGAGCCTAAAATAAAGGTCAAAATCAGCATCCGTAATATGCATTCAGTAGAACAACCCTTGATACACAATTGATGCAAGTATGATCAACATAGTACTTGTAGTAGGCATGATATAGATGAGAGCATTTCTTCTTAACATTGACATTTATACCATATAACAGACTAAGTAAACGTCACTTGAAAATTGTACCATGGAAATGGTTGAATTACAAGTTCAATTTATATGAAATTGCATATATCTGAATTCCGATGTTTTATTGGATTATTTAGATATGATTTATCAAAGGGGTTGGAATTTTGGGTTCTACTGCATCATGAGGGGCTTTTTTTGAACCTTAGATGTCGAATACACCTATCTAAATTTCTTCAGGATACACAAATCAGAGCTGGTTTCCATCTTTGAAAGCTTCAAGTTCATTTTTACGGTTGTTGGGAATTGATGCAGGAGTTATCTCTCTTTGGTCATTCTAATTTATGTATGTCGGTGACTTCAACTTTCTATGACTTCTATGAGGCTATAGTCACCTAATATTTAATTCCGACCCCGTGATAAGTCATATTCAAAGACTCCAATTAAAGATTGTAGCTTATATATGTAATTTGAATATATTGACAATGTACGGTATAGCTACTATTAAAATGTTCAATAGCGGTGTTAACGTCGTCAGTTATAATTAAGGCATTCAGGCTGATCAGAGACGTAATATATTTCGTAGGAGTTGTGTGGGGTTTTTTGCGGGTTATCTGAATTATCTTAATTTTCCGAAAGACGGTAACAATATCTCTGATAAGGATCTCTGCTGTATACGTTTAGCCGTGGTTAAACTTTTGTTTGGAATCGTATATTTTCTCGTTTACGGAAAGTGCCAACGGTTCCCGATTGCCCGCTGCATTGCATGCGGATCTTTCATTACGTTGTCTGTTTACAGACATTTGAAAACTGTAACCGTGACAGCCCAGATCCGACTTTGTTTAGAAATATCATTGATAGCCCTTTATATGAACGCATCATTGGCTGATATAAAGAAACTGTATGGTTTACCTGCAAACTGATAAACTCTTCTCAGACCTCAATGAAAACTGTCTGTTGAGAAATTATTTTTGACAATGTTCGTATCATATTTGCTTCCATCGTCCTCTCCCCACGAACGTACAAACCCCCTAGTATAACTCGATGGAGGTTTCATCTTTGTAGAAGGTCTTAATGTTGGTCCGTAAAGTGGGCAATAACAAGTAACACCAACCGTCTTCGAAATCAAGAGCCCCGGTTGTTGCATAAAATGATACTGCTGATTATCTCGAATTTTCTCATTTGCAATATATGTTGAACAAAGGAAACTCGTATACAGTGGCGGTTTCTTCTCGACTAGCACATGAAGATACGCTCTCTGTACCCCTGGGATATGTCATTGTAAAATTGAGTGCTCAATGAGACAAGAAGACTAGTTTGATCCTTTGGTGTATATCAAAAGAGTCTCTCGGACGCGTAATGGTTAACTCGAATAGTTTTGAAGTCGGGTGACACTCATCTGTGATCTTACAAGAACAGATATCAGCCTAGCGATTGGTCAGGTTATTTTATATTCATTTTATGTTGCTATATAATAGTTTGTGTACTTTTAATGATGGGCACACCGATCTGACCCTTGTTTTCACGAAGATTTTATTAATAACACAATCGTTGGTACGGACCATAAATAGTAATATTAACGTCTCTCGTACTACTGTGCGGTTGTGGCAATAAGACGAGCTATACACGTGCAGACAGTGAAGAGTGACGGTGGTGATTACAACGCGAGTATTAATTTTGCTATGTCACTTAGGCGCCTCCTTATTTCAGAGTAGATTCATGCTTTTCTGGAACAATATTATTCAACAAATGAACTAAATGTTTTTAAAAAATGCTTCTTAGTTGGCGTGTTAATTTACTGTGTTTGGTAATGTCGACGATGATGCAGTTACTAATTATGAGTGTTGCCATGGTTCCTCTACGTATGTAAATGATATGCCGCGTGAGGTTTT